CATCACTAAGCTAAGGACCCTGGGAATGGACACCTCCCTCTGCAACTGGATCCTGGACTTCCTGACGGGCCGACCCCAAAAGGGTTCCAAATTGGTTCTTCGGCTGTCCCCATTGATAACCATTTTTGATTCTAGGTACAACCCTTTTTGGTTCCATGTAGAGCCCTCTGTGGAAAGGGTTCTACATGGAACCGAAAATGGTTCTTCAAAGGGTTCTCCTATGAGGATAGCCGAAGAATCCTTTTCAGTTCTAGATAGCACCTTTATTTTTTTTTGCTAAATAATTAGTTAAATAGGTAACCAAATAGCTACCCGGACTATCTGCATTGACCCTTTTTGCACTAACTTTTTTGTCTCATATAATACACTGCTGCTACTGTTTATTATCTGTCACTTTATTCCTAGTTATATGTACATATTTACCTCAATTACCTCGTACCCCTGCACATCGACTCGGTACTGGTACCCCATGTATATAGCCGTTATCGTTACTCATTATGTATTTATTATTTACTTCTCTATTAATTCTCTATTTTATTTCTCTCTGCATTGTTGGGAAGGGTCCATAAGTAAGCATTTCACTGTAATAGTCTACACCTGTTGTTTACGAAACATGTTGACGAATACATTTGATTTGATTTGAAATTATACTTTATTATTTTGAAACTGTCGTTTTTTTTACAAAGACATTGTTAATTTTTTTTACAAACAATGGAGTAAAACCATCTTTAATTTATATCAATATTCTGGGTTATGATGGGGGTAAGACAGTTGTAAACATTATGAAGCATTAACTTATATTCTTGAAGACTAAAATGCCATTGAACAGCAGTAAATAGTGCAGATTGTACCTTTAAAGCGAAAAGCAATTGATAAGCATGTGTGCAGGTATTATCGCTCAACCTACACACTACAGCCTCTAGAATATAGTCAATTTACTATCAGACATCTAAACAGAGCAGGGAGACCAAAAAGATAATAAAACAAAGAGCACATAGCCTACCTCTTGAACATAGATGTAGATGTGTAGCCTAATTCTTCTCGGGATGGGCGTCTGAATTCATTCTCAAAGCAAAGCAGATGAAATGCCAACTGTTCTTAACACAGGGACTGTCTGGCTCTAGTCTGCGCAGTGAAATGCTTGTAACCTACTCTGTCGCATGGTTTGTCACCTGTTATGCCAGAACATTTATCGGAATCTCTGGATTCCTCTTCAAAATAAAAGCTCCTCTTCAAAATAAAAGCGTTCTTGTAAAACATATAAAAATGTTTTACAAGAACATTTAGTTCAAATATACACCCATCTAGAACCGGGTTGGACCCCCTTTGCCTCCAGAACAACCTTACCTCCAGAACAACCTGAATTATTTGGGGCATGGAAACGTTGCTCAATTGTCTATGTATGTTCTTGTTTGTTGTCAGAAAGAAAAATGGGAGAAAAAGTTAAATTAAATATTCAAAAAAAGGAAACGTTGCTCAATTGGTATCAAGGGACCTAATGTGTCCCAGGAAAACATCCCCCACACCATTACACCACCGCCACCAGCCTGTACCGTTGACACCAGGCAGGATGGGGCCATGGACTGTCTCTGCCATCAGCATGACGCAACAGGAACCGGGATTTGTCAGACCAGGAAATGTTCTTCCACTCCTCAGTTGTCCAATGTTGGTGATCGCATGCCCACTGGAGCCACTTCTTCTGGTTTTTAGCTGTTAGTAGTGGAACCCGGTGTGGTCGTCTGCTGCAATAGCCAATCCGTGACAAAGACCGAGAGGGCCTCACAAATAAGGCTCTCTCACTTCATATTTGCTGTTGTTTCTTAGTCTACTTCACTTATTACCCCTCTCTCTTCAACTCACACATTACAAACCATACAAAATGTCTACTTGTTTTGGACCCAAGTGAAAAGGAATTGGATTTCATTATGACAGACACAGGTGTGTGGTGTCAGATGTGTAGCTGCAATCTCAACTGAACATAGCCCCAGAGACTGAGCCCATGAAAAGAAGCATGCAATGTCCTTTAATTACATTTTCCCTTTCAAATGGGGATATGTGGCATTTGGCTCCAAGATACTCTACAAGGCAGTTTCTGAGGAAAATATTGTATACATTTGAATATGCATGCTCTGGTATCACCCCATTTCCATGATATAATATAATATCTCAATAGAGATCTGATGAGAGTATCTCTGTGATTTACATCAGTGCATACAGCTCGTCTAATCAGCTCATCTGTCTCATCTGGCATCAGTCATGGCAAAATGTGTAGAATTCCTGGAAATGTGTTTTAAAACAGCAAACATTTCTCTCCACCCCATGGCAAAATGTGTAGAACTGCAGAAATTAGTAGAAAATGTTTGCCTGCGAAGTGGGGGGGCCCCAAAAGGCTAAGACTGGCCCTGGGTAGCACAACACAGCTTTGTTTGAAATTCAACCACACATCATTTTCAGCAGATAGAGGAGGAGTTATTGTTTTTAATAATTATTTCAGGTGGCTCAAAGATCGTTCCACGAATAGAGTGCCTTTTATGTCCTTCAGACATTATGTGTGTATATTTTGATAAAACAGTCAATTTAACAGTTGGATCACATACAGTACCAGTCAAAAGTTTGGACACACCTACTCATTCAAAGGTTTTTCTTAATTTTTTACAATTTTCTACATAGTAGAATAATAGTGAAGACATAAAAACTACGAAATAACACATATGTAATAATGTAGTACCAAAAAAGTGTTAAACAAATCAAAATATATTTTATATTTGAGATTCTTCAAATAGCCACCCTTTGCCTTGACGACAGCGTTGCACACTCTTGGCATTCTCTCAACCAGCTTCACCTGGAATGCTTTTCCAACACTCTTGAAGGAGTTCCCACATATGCTGAGCACTTGTTGGCTGGTTTTCCTTCACTCTGCCGTCCGACTCATCCCAAACCATCTCAGTTGGGTTGAGGTCGGGGGATTGTGGAGGCCAGGTCATCTGATGCAGCACTCCATCACTCTCCTTCTTGGTCAAATAGCCCTTACACAGCCTAGAGGTGTGTTATGTCATTGTCCTGTTGAAAAACAAATGATAGTCCCACTAAGCCCGAACCAGATGGGATGGCGTATTGCTGCAGAATGTTGTGGTAGCCATGCTGGTTAAGTGTGCCTTGAATTCTAAAAAAAATCACAGACAGTGTCACCAGCAAAGCCCCACCACACCATAACACCTCCTCCTCCATGCTTTACGGTGGGAAATACACATGCGGAGATCATCCATTCTCACAAAGCCACTGCGGTTGGAACCAAAAATCTCCAATTTGGACTCCAGACCAAAGGACAAATTTCCACCTGTCTAATGTCCATTGCTCGTGTTTCTTGGCCCAAGCAGGTCTCTTCTTCTTATTGGTGTCCTTTAGTAGTGGTTTCTTTGCAGAAATTCGACCATGAAGGCCTGATTCACACAGTCTCCTCTGAACAGTTGATGTTGAGATGTATCTGTGACTTGAACTCTGTGAAGCATTTATTTGGGCTGCAATTTCTGAGGCTGGTAACTCTAATGAACTTATCCTCTGCAGCAGAGGTAACTCTGGGTCTTCCATTCGTGTCGCGGTCCTCATGAGAGCCAGTTTCATCATAGCGCTTGATGATTTTTGCTACTGCACTTGAAATGTTCCATATTGACTGACTTTCATGTCTTAAAGTAATGATGGACTGTCGTTTCTCTTTGCTTATTTGAGCTGTCTTGCCATAATATGGACTTGGTATTTTACCAAATAGGGCTATCTTCTGTATACCTTGTCACAACACAACTGATTGGCTGAAACGCATTAAGAAGGAAAGAAATTCCACAAATTAACTTTTAAGAAGGCACACCTGTTAATTGAAATGCATTCCAGGTGACTACCTCATGAAGCTGGTTGAGAGAATGCCAAGAGTGCGCAAAGCTGTCATCAAGGCAAAGGGTGGCTATTTGTTTAACACTTTTTTGGTTACTACATGATTCCATATGTGTTATTTCATAGTTTTGATGTCTTCACTATTATTCTACAATGTAAAAAATAGTAAAAATAAAGACTGGTACTGTACATCTTGCTCTAACTAAACTAAACCATGTTAAAAATTATTTCACAAGGGGAGTTATGGCTGATGTAGGATGAAATCGTCAACCCTGTTATGTCAACATTTATAGTCATTTTTCTCTTAATTTAACATCTTGAGATCGGAAAACATGTTTGTTTTGAAGTTGAACATGTGCTCTTTATGACAGAACGTTAAAATTAGGTGACATAAATAGGTGACAAAATGACACTACCCAAAAGGCACTGTATTTGTGGAATGACACGCATATGCTTGAATTGTGGCATAATGCTGTGAGAGGAGGACTGTGCATCACTAGTAGTCCATGACCTTCATAAAACAAATGTCAACCCTGACACAAAAGTGGTGGAAGTGTGAAACCATTAGAAAATAGGCCTATTTGGGAGTTAATTGATGCCACGAGGAAATGATGTTCATATGAAGAAATTATGTTTACACACAACGTCTGGCATGATGAGGAGGAAATCTGAATCTGAAATTTCTGTAATTTAATGAAACCTCAAATGGTTTGTACGGTGTTCATTCATTAGTGTCTGAGGCCCCCTACTGGTCAAGACTATATCTCTATGTTGGGCCCTAATCTTCAAGATAGAACAAGGAATATAATAATAAATAATAATATGCCATTTAGCAGACGCTTTTATCCAAAGCGACTTACAGTCATGCGTGCATACATTTTTGTGTATGGGTGGTCCCGGGGATCGAACCCACTACCCTGGCATTACAAGCGCCGTGCTCTACCAGCTGAGCTACAGAGGACCACCAATATGCCCTGTTCTCTACTTTGTATGAAATAACGATCACATATTTTGACATTTTAAGCTGACTTTAATCAAAAGGACAATATTTCAATAAAATAATATATTTTCTCATGTATTCACAGGTCTTTATTAGAAGAGCACACAGACACGTCTTAGTTGTCCATCATGGTCTGAAAGAAACACAACATACAGGCTCAGATGAGTTTCACAAGCCAAACAAAACACATTTGAAACACAACTGAAGAAGAACACCAATAAACTCAAACAGTGAAAGGGTTGGGGTCAAGTCCATTTCGACAATTCAGGAATTAAATTAAAATTCCAGTTCCAATTTTCTTCAATTATTTTCTATGCGGAAAATGTAGACATGGAATTTGGATTTCAGTTTAGCTCCTAAATTGACTGAATTGCAATGGAATTGACCTCAACCCTGTGTGATGATGTATAGCGATGTGTTTAGTGATCTGGTCATCAGCAACTCTGGTTACCTCATCAATCCACTCATTGTAGTCGGAGACGCGGGTGAAGACGGTGGGCTTCTTGATGTAGTTGCAGCCCTGGCCGGAGACGAAGCTAGCAATGCCATGCACCTCCCATACTCCCGCAGAGTTCTTACAGTTCAGTGGGCCACCAGAGTCTCCCTGGAACAGGACATGTCACTTAGAGAACATAAAACACTTCATATCTTTGAAATGTTTACCACATAGGTTGATGACAATATAATGCTCATCACATTTGCTTGAATCTCTTGTATCTTTATTTTTTAGCTTGTATCTCTTGTATTTTTGACTCCTTTATAAATTGAAAGCTGTCGTCCATATCTTTGTAAATGCATACCTGGGCGTTGAGACATCAGCCCAACTATAGGCAACTATGGACAATGTCTGCTCCAAAATGGCCCCCTATGCCCTTTATATTGCACTACTTTTGACCAGAGCCCTATGGGTGTATGTGTCTGACTCACGTTGCAGCCTCCCACCACTCCGTCCCCTCCGGCACAGACCATGGACCTGCGAATGGACACGCCCCACCAGTCGCTCTGGGTGCACGTCTTGTGGTCCACCACGGGCATCAGGGCCTGTTGCAGGGTGTCAGGGGTGGGGCCTCCGGCTGGAACACACACAGCAGGGGGATAATGAGCATGAATGTAATGGAAGAGAACAGACATACAGTAAGCTGTCTTGGCATTACACACAGGCAAAGTCACAGACACAGATGCATGCACGGACACGCACACACACCACTCATCACTCACTGGTGAGTCTTCCCCAGCCGGTGATGTAGCAGGGGTAATTATTGGACAAGATGGTTCCGGGGGCGGGGACACAAGCCAGCTGGACCTGGTCACTCAGAGTCACATGCTCTGCCAGCTTGATCATGGCGATGTCATTGCTGGTCGTTAGGGAAATGAGAGTATGAATGGATCAGAATAGATCAGAAACTGTTACTGATTACTAGTTTACTGTTATTATGGCCATTGAAACCATATATAAGTTCAGTATTTGGAAGCCAGCTAAATGACAAGCACACAATTTTCCACCAACATGTATAAACTATTTATGAAGTAATACTTAAAAAGTTATAAACTCCTTATTCCTTATAAATCTGAATATTCTGTATTAATAGTGTAAATGTAAAGTTTTACCTGTATTTTTACAAGCCATTTTACAAGCCATTTTACAAGCCATTTTACAAGCCATTTTACAAGCCATTGCCCAACTTACCCCACTGACAGGAGGACAGGGTTATAGTGTTTGTGCACGATGATTCCTTTCTTAGCTGGGAAGTAGGCCTGAGCACTGGGCTCAGCCTCTGCCAGGTTGTGTTTGCCCACAACCACACGATAATTCAGGTTCAGACTGTATGGAGGAATAGGGAAAAAACTGGCCCATGAAGCATCATTTTGCAGAGCTTTAAGCCTACCCCTCTTCACATTGGTCAAAGACAATTGCTTCTTTTTTTACTGTTTTGTGCTGGTCAACATCTTTAAAATTACCAGCAGTGTGTCTGTGTGTGTGCTGGCTTACTCAATGCAGTGGGCAGCAGTCATAACCCAGTTGGTAGCGATGAGGGATCCACCACAGGTGTGTCTGTACTCACCATTCCTCTCATACTGCAGAGAGATCTACAGAGACAGACGATGATCAGTAGACTCTTACAGCACTTAGCAATTAGCCTAAACGTAACATTTTAGAGTCCGCTCCATCAACACTTCACAGTCAATACCATAAACACTTTCCTTTTACTCAAAACTATCAATGATTTACAGTCGATACAATGAACACTATAGTTTATTCCATCTAAACATTCCTGTAAGGTCCATTACCATTAAAAGTTTCAGTCAGTCAGCACCTCCATCACTTTACCTATTTAAAGTTACATTCAGCACTGTTTACATTTTGAAACATTTAGTTAACATTTGAAGCATCTTGAACGAAACCCATGTCTCGACATCCTCACCTGCCAAGGCCAGCTGTTGGGGCGGGCATCCACGCCATTGACCACGCGGGTTGTATCAGGCTTAATGGCTGGGGTTCCACAGCCATATGCTGCAGACGAGGAAGAGGGACATCCAGGACTTATTATATGGAGGGTTGCAGATAGATCTATGTACTGTATTTACAAGTTAGGTTTGGGGTCATTCCAATTCAATTGCAGTCAATTCAGAAAGTGAACCAAATTCCAATTCCAAATGTTCCTCATTGAAAAGCATTGAAGATAATTGGAATTTCAGTGTACTTCCTGAATATAGGCTATGTATAGGGCTGTCAAGATGTCCTATTCTAGGCCAGTGTTTCTCAGTGGTGTGTTACTGGCAAGTCCCTGAGATGCATAGACGCAGGAAGTAGGGGTGCTGACAGTGCTGCAGCACCCCCTGAAAAATCAGAATAGAAAAAATATATTAATACACAAAAGTAGTGCACTGGGCCTTTTATTAGTTATTAATAAAAGTAGTAGTTATTATTTTTATTAGTATTAGCGGACCGATATAGGGCGGGATTGAATTGTTGTAATTGTAAGAGTTGTTGCCCTGTCCCTTTCTCTGCAATTGTCATTTTAATGGCATCCAGAAAGAACAAAACCCTGTCCTCAAACATTTACATCAAAAGGTGCAAAGTTATAGGCAAAGACACAAAACATCCACATCAAATTCAATATATTTCTTGATCAAATAATATCATCCTTACAAACCACTTAATGTAATTGTACATTACTGTATTGGACATAAGCTGGTCATCTAGGTTTACACCTGAAGACTTTCCATCACCATGAAGAAAGAAAAACAAAGCACAATACAGTAATTGAGTACATTTAGACAAGTGGTTTGTGATGATGTGGCTCAGTTGGTAGAGCATGGCCCTTGCAATGCTAGGGTTGTGAGTTCGACCCCACAAGGAAAAAGTATGAAAATGTATGCACTCACTACTGTAAGTTGCTCTGGATAAGAGCGTCTACTAAAATGGAAAAGGAATGAATAGACCATTTCAGTTTTCACATAGAAATAAGTTGCATTTGCAAAGTATTTCAAGAAACTGGAAAACATACACTACTGTTCAAATGTTTGGGGCACTAAGAAATGTACTTGTTTTTGAAATAAAATCATTTTATTGGTCCATTAAAATAACATAAAATTGATCAGAAATACAGTGTAGACATTGTTAATGTTGTAAATGGCTATTGTAGCTGGAAACGGCAGATTTTTTATGGAATATCTATATGAGCGTACAGAGGCCCATTATCAGCAACCATCAGTCCTGTGTTCCAATGGCACGTTGTGTTTGCTAATCCAAGTTTATCATTTTAAAAGGCTAATTGATAATTAGAAAACCCTTTTGCAGTTATGTTAGCACATCTGAAAACTGTTGTGCTGATTAAAGAAGCAATAAAACTGGCCTTCTTGAGACTAGTTGAGTATCTGGAGCATTAGCAATTGTGGGTTCGATTACAGGCTCAAAATGGCCAGAAACTTGTCAGTCTATTCTTGTTCTGAGAAATTAAGGATATTCCATGCGAGAAATTGCCAAGAAACTGAAGATCTCGTACAACGCTGTGTACTTTCAGAAGAAAGTTTTTTGTTTCTAGCCATTTTGAGCCTGTAATCGAACCCACAATTGCTTATGCTCCAGATACTCAACTAGTCTCAAGAAGGCCAGTTGTATTGCTTCTTTAAATCAGCACAACAGTTTTTAGCTGCGCTAACATAATTGCAAAAGGGTTTTCTAATGATCAATTAGCCTTTTAAAATGATAAACTTGGATTAGCAAACACAACGTGCCATTGGAACACAGGACTGATGGTTGCTGATAATGGGCCTCTGTACGCCTATGTAGATATTCCATTAAAAATCAGCCGTTTCCAGCTACAATAGCCATTTACAACATTAACAATGTCTATACTGTATTTATGATCAATTTGATGTTATTTTAATAGACAAAATACAAAAACAAAAACAAGGACATTTCAAAGTAACCCCAAACCATTGAACGGTAGTGTTTATCAAGCAAGTATTTGTATATTCTACAAGTATTATCAGATTAACTGTTTTGTACAGATAATTATCAGACTCAAGTTACAAATGCTGGTAAACACTCAAATACATTTAGTTTAAATTTTTTCACATAAGTAGTGCACTGGGCCTTTACTAGTCCTGTATTAGCGGACCAATATAGATGTCATCAGCACAGGCAACAACAACAAAAATCTGCATCGTTGACAGAAATATTTGCAGCACCCCCACCTCCAAAATACTTCACGCGGCTATGCTGAGATGGTTAGCTAGCTGGAGGAAAAACCATAGCTTGTCGGTCAATATAAAACGTTTGAAAACACTGTTCCTTGAGACATAATGATAATTTAAACACACTGATCTACTTGCCATGTCTGGTAAAAATGCAAAAAGGTCTTACCGCTGGCAACGAGGGCCAAGACCAAAATGATAGAAGTCATGTTGCTGCTGTCATGAGTGCTGGTGGAACTCCTTTATACTGCTTTTTGTTTCTTATCCGTGACTGATAAGTGAGCTTCATCCAACTGGTTTAGTTAGAAAAAACTGGCCATTCTGTCCGACTGATAGAGCCAAAAAGTGCAGAAGGTGTGAGAAATGTTTGTCTGTCATTACTGCTCTTGGGCAAGAGATAATGGTCCTGGCCTTCTTCCAACTGTCTGGCTTAGATGGTCATGTAGGCCTACTCTGAACTGCTACCCGGTCAGGCCGAGGACGACCCAAATCCAAATGTGCATTCTTGCAGCCTTAGAATAATCATGTTCTTGACTTGGAAACTTGGTATACGGATTGAATAGGATTTGATTGTATTCAGTACATATGTAAAAGAGGTGCAGCAGCAAAGGTTTATTTGTCCAAACAATTATTTTAATTATCAATTTTTTGCTAAACATAAAACTACTGGTAATGTATGTCCTTACGTGTAATGTGGAACATGACATCCAGACAGCACTACTCTATCTAAAACCATCATACAGTAGCCTTCATTTTGAAGGGTCAGCAACACCTGTTTACTTCCCAGAGTCTTCGTATCCATACTGCAAATGTTTAACCACAAGAGCACAACCAATGACACGCAATTCAATCTTTATTTTTAACATATGAGAAACTACTGATTACTGAAATTTCATGTATGAGGAACAAGTCATAGTGATAGGAAGAGAAATTGGCGTGCTCAGCTCAAATATTAAAACAAATGTGGGTGCTAGGGTCAAAAGGCATATACTGGAAGAAAGGAAAACTTTTAATGGCTTATTTTTTTAGCAACAGAGGTCAAAACAAAGACACGTTTCACCGGCAGCCTTCGTCACATTTCTGAGCAATGAAGTAGTAATGGTGGTTCAGACCAAATGAAGACAACACAGCTCCCTGTCAGTCTAAGTTGCCTCTGGCACAGGAAGCATGTATGTGTATGGAGCAGCAGCAGATCCCATGTCTCAGGTTTCTTTGTTTATTGCCAGTTCCACATCACAAACACAGGAGTTCCAAAGAAACATCAATCACACCGACTTGTCTAAAAACTGTTTTCGTTTGGAGTGTCTGAGGTGTGTCTATTTGTGATGTGGTGTTTGCAGAAGGAAGTTATTTAAAGTTCCTTTCAAGCGCTGAGCTCATGGATATAGTTTCTCTATCCTGAGGGTTTAGACGGTGGACGACACTCGGATGTGGGGTGGGAACTGTTTACCAGTGTGGTATAATTTTTACCAGTCATTTCTCCCTTCCTATGTACAGATGTCATATCTTAATTTGCACAGCAGGAAATGCAAACTTGCAGTGTATTCAAGTTTTTAAAAGGCTTCTAAAGTTCATAATTTCCACTTTTAAATTGATTTGCCCTAACGAAAAATGTATCAACCCCTACAAAATTGTCCATGAATTACAATCCACATAATTCCCTGTTGCTGCAGGATTATTTTCCTCCTGTAAGAAACTGGTCAAATTAAGACAGTACATGTCACAGTTTAGTGTGAACCCCTTTACTCCACCCAACACAGGATTTAATGTTCTCCAGCACATAACCCCAACACAGAAGACCAGAACAGGTAAGTACACTCTGGTGCTGCACACAATATGGGACCCACCCTTGGCCCTGCTCTACTCTGCCAACCCCTCTAACAGACTCTTTACTGCTATGGGACAAAATAAGGAGGGGGAAAGACAGACAACATACAGAAAGGGTGGGGATAGATTCTCGACTTCTAGGGCCCGACGAGAACCATATCTCCACAAAATAAAATAAACGTCTCTGAATGGCGATATCCAGATCCACACAGCTACCTGTCCTGGAATGCGCCTGGTCTGAGACTCTGCTTGCTGACGTCACCGATGGACCCGCCTCCAGTGCTAAACGAGAGGAAGACAGACGGAAATAGACCTGCCGACAATAGTGGGTTTCAGTGGCGTGGCAAAACGGCCCAGAGAGAGCAAGAGTAGTGTAAGGAGAAAACAGGAAGAATCACTGCTCTTGGATCACCACTCAGCTCCACAGCCCCAGTTCATCATCAGCGCAGCCACCCATGAGTTGCATCTGGGAGCGGTTTGAAGGTCGGTAGGGGAAAGGCCGCACATGGTTTCCGATGAATTGTCCGTATTCGTCCCCCTCCCTCTGGTTGGATATGAAGGACTGGCAGTCCAGGCCGAAGGTGTCCTAGAATGACAAAAGGCTGTGGTTGCCATCGGGGGGCTAGTTTACCCTGATCCTGTCATCCGAAGTTCCGCAGGAGCACCCTTTCCCCAGCCATCAATGGAAGGTCCTTTCCCCGCTTGTCGTACCGCTGTTTGTCTCGCTCCTGCTGATGTCGGGTCCTTGCCATGACCTGACTGTAGACCCATTGTAGCTGGTCATGATGGTGCCTCACCCATCCATCTAGGTCCATCCACAGCGTGGGGGCCTCCACACCTGAAATCACATCAACAGGAAGACTGGCATGCCTGCCACTCATTACAAAGAATGGGGTAAGCCTGGTGCTGTTATGTTCAGTGTTGTTGTATGCCTGGCGAAGCACGGGCAACTGCTCTGGCCAACGCATCTGCTCATCTTGCCCCAGGGACCCAAGGAGAGATAACACTGTTTGATTAAACAGCTCACAGGCCCCGTTGTCCTGATGGCGGTAGGGAGTGGTTCGGATCTTGGCACACCCATCCAGCTGGCAGAACTGGGCTACAAGTGCGGATTCAAAAGCTACCCCCTGATCGGACCAAATCCACTCAGGACAACCCCAGTGTTGCACTACAGCTGACCAGAGGGCTTTTACAGTGGTCTCTGCAGTCTGGTCTTTTGTGGGGACAGCACACCCTTGTCTGGAAAACAGATCTGCCATGACGGGCAGGTAAGGGTAAGTATCACTAGGCCAACCCTTTTCATCACTAGGCCAACACTTTTAAACTCGGACAAAACAGAGATGCTAGTTCTAGGTCCAAAGAAACAAAGAGATCTGCTGTTGGATCTGACAATTAATCTTGATGGTTGTACAGTCGTCTCAAATAAAACTGTGAAGGACCTCTGTGTTACTCTGGACCCTGATCTCTCTTTTGACAAACATATTAATAATATTTAAAGGACTGCTTTTTTCCATCTTTGTAACTTTGCAAAAATCTTAAACTTTTTGTCCAAAAGTGATGCAGAAAAGCTAATCCATGCTTTTGTCACTTCTAGATTAGACTACTGCAATGCTCTACTATCCAGCTACCCAGATAAAGCACTAAATAAACGTCAGTTAGTGCTAAACACAGCTGCTAGAATCTTGACTAGAACCAAAAAATGTGATCATATTACTCCAGTGCTGGCTTCCTGTTAAGGCTAGGCCTGATTTAAAGGTTTTACTGCTAACCTACAAAGCATTACATGGGCTTGCTCCTACCTATCTCTACGATATGGTCCTGCCGTACATACCTACATGTACGCCACGGTCACAAGACGCAGGCCTCCTTATTGTCCCTAGAATTTCTAAGCAAACAGCTGGAGGCTTTCTCCGAAAGAGCTTCATTTTTATGGAATGGTTTGCCTATCCATGTGAGAGACGCAGACTCTGTCTCGAACTTTAAGTCTCTACTGAAGACTAATCTCTTCAGTAGGTCCTATGATTGAGTGTAGTCTGGCCCGGGGGTGCGAAGGTGAACGGCAAGTCACTGGAGTGACGAACCGCCCTTGCGGTCTCTGCCTGGCCGGCTCCCCTCTCTCCACTGTAATTCTCTGCCTCTGACCCTATTACGGGGGCTGAGTCACTGGCTTACTAGTGCTCTTCCCTGCCTAGGAGGGGTACGTCACTTGAGTGGGTTGAGTCAGACGTGATCTTCCTGGGCTATACGCAGCCTTGTCTCAGGGTAGTAAGTTGGTGGCCTGTTGATATCCCTCTAGTGGTGTGGGGGCTGTGCTTTCGCAAAGTGGGTGGGGTTATATCCTGCCTGGTTGGCCCTGTCCGGGGGTATCATCGGATGGGGCCACAGTGTCCGCCGACCCCCCGTCAGTACCTGTGGGAATGTGATGTAGGACAGCATCAGACTTACCAAAATCCTCATGGGCAGAGAACACACTTGACCAATGGGCTAGGAGTGCATGGAGCCTTTGTTGCTGTGTTGGCTCCAGTCTCTCTACCGGTTGAAGATTTACAGGGGGTTGGCCATCAGGCTGTAGCTGAACTGTCTGCACAGCCACCTCAACTTCACCTGGTGTTTGGGTGTGTAGCACCAGGTCTGGCTCCCCACAGATCTGAGAAGGCTCCAAGAGGGTTACAAGGGGGTAAGGGTTTAAGTTCAGCAGTCACAAGTGTAGCCTTCCTCCTTGCATTCTCACCACTGGGTGAGCAACTTGCCACTCAACTCCATCACCAGGATCCTCCACCAGGGTATAATAGTCTTTGGACGAGCTCCCTCCAACAACTCCGGCCCACAGCAACTTCTCACTGCTAGCTGGGATCCCATCGGGGTCCCTCTTGGACAGGCGTGCAGTACCTGGTCCCCCCTCAGGCTCATTGGTCTGCATGACTCAACTGCAGACAGCGAAAGCATTCTGCCACTCCTTCCTGGCAGCTACCCTTAAAGTGGCGTTGAACCCAGTGACACCCTGTGAGACTCCTTGGAACAGCACCTTCCAGCATTAGGCCATAACGGTCATCCCAAGGATGTCTTGGTCAGTCATCCTTGACAATCACAACCCCCTTAGCTGGAACTTGCACTCCTCCAACTACATAATCCACGACCACATAGCCGACAAAGGGGATATGTAGGCCATTGTCTGCCTTCAACGTGAGCCAGCGGAGGTCTGAAGAATCCTGCATGGGGAGACAGCCAAACCACTTCTGAAAAAAACTGACTGAACACCGTTACTTGGGACCCCGTATCCAACATACAAGGTCTTTTTTTATTTTGCTTACCTCCACTTCTACAAGAGGGCAGTTTCCCACAACAGCTGACTTTTCAGGGCTTTCCTCCTGCCTGGTGCCTGCAGCCCCGACCGCTCGCCCTACAGTGGCTGGGGGATTCCTGTTTAAAAGGGCCTGTTCATCTCTCTGGGTGGAGCAGAAGCATTTGTGGCCAGGCTGTCCACACCCCAAACAGATGGCTCTGCCCTACCGGTCCCACTGGAATGTCCTTTCCCTCCATTTCTCTGGCCAGCGACTCAGCCTTCTGACTAACCTGAGTGAATGTCATCCCTTGCTGTCACCACGCATACTTTTGGAGCGACTGTTTCAGAGGGCCCTCCTTTAGACCTGTAACAAATTGGTTCCTAAGCGTTGATTCATCCTTGGCAGAGCTGTCCGGTTCTGATTGGAGCCGTCGGCTAAACAGCTCCCGTGTGCACAGGAGGTAGTCGCCCATAGGCTCATCTCCCATCTAGTTACAGTCAAAGAAGCGGGACTGGAGAGTGGGTGTAGGGGTTAGGCTGCCAAACCGGTCCTGTAATGCAGCCCACAAAGAAGCAGGTGAGTTCCTCTGGGCTTGACTAAACATGGTTTCTCTTTACACAAGCATCTAGAGCCCCCATGATGAAATCAATCTGCTGCTGTTCTGCCATTCCTTGCGCCCTCAATATTGCTTCCATTTGTGCTCGACACTCCCCAAAGCTAACTACACTACTCTCAGCAGAAAATATGGGAACCCAGGGTGAACACATGAACCAAGGCATTGCTAAGGAGTATACTGAGGTAGTGGGCTTGCCACTGAAGGACTAGAGCCTTCTGCCCCCTGTGCTCCATCCCCTTGCTGAGCCATAGCACCCTGTGCAAGAGAAGTGTGCTTGGAGAAATCCTGCCGACTTAACGCCACTTAAAGAGGTGTCACAGTTTAGCGTCAACCACTTTTTACTCCACCCAACACAGGATGTAATGTTCTCCAGCCCATAACCCCAACACAGAAGACCAGGACAGGTAAGTATGCTCAAGGTAAGTTTTATTTTAAATTCACGAGTTAACATGGGTCGGACCCCGTTTCCCCATCTCCCACAGCAGACTGCATGATTTCCCGGACTGTGTCGACACAATATAGCCTCCCCTCAGGTAGGTTACCCTCCCTCTGACTCCCTCATGTAAATAGCGGGAATGCAAAAGTGACACACTGAATTATTCTGATATGGCACTGCAACAATATGGTAAAAAGCACTACAAATCTCACTCCACTGCACACTGAATTATTCTGATATGGCACTGTAACAAGATAGTTATTCTAAAGGGAAGGCACTGCAAACAATATGGTGAAAAGCACTACAATCTCCCTCTGGTGCTGCACACAATATGGGACCCACCCTTGGCCCTGCTCTACTCTGCCAACCCCTCTAACAGACTCTTTACTGCTATGGGACAAAATAAGGAGGGGGAAAGACAGACAACATACAGAAAGGGTGGGGATAGATTATCGATTTCTATAGCCGGACAAGAATAATATCCCCACAAAATAAAATAAATGTCTCTGTATGGCGATATCCAGATCCGCACAGCTCCCTGTCCTGCAACGCGCCCGGTCTGAGACTCTGCTTGGCGACGTCACGGAAACCTGCAGACAATAGTGGGTTTCAGTGGCGTGGCAAAACGGCCCAGAGAGAGCAAGAGTAGTGTAAGGGGAAAACAGGAAGAATCAAGTCCCTTATTTGGCGGAGCTAATGCTCCTAGATGTGCGTTGTACAAATGCCTCCCGGTCCTCTGCTCTCGGATCACCACTCAGCTCCACAGCCTCAGTTCGTCGTCAGCGCAGCCGGCCACTTCCTCCCTCGAATTCGCCAGTAAGACTTCTCGTCCCGAAGACACTGGTCCAGTGCACACCCAAGACATGGACCCTTGCATAGGGGACCGATCCCCACGGAGAGACATTTCCCGCTCAACTCCAAGCCCCGAATGCCACAAAACACAGGGTTTTTAAAGGAAATTACAGCCAATCCCCAGCTACTGATTAGCTAACTCGCTGCAGGTGCGTCTAATCACACCAGCCCCGCCACCCACTTATCCACTTATCTACCAATCCATCTCGTGACATACATACAGTAGGTACATGCAAACATTTTGTTTGAACCCTTTGTTGGCACAATTATGTTGTCCAAAAGCACCTATAACTTGTAGCAAAACACTTCTTGGATAACATTTTGTTTGATAAGATAGACAAGAAATGTAGAACAGAGAAATACCCCTTAGTTTTGTAAAAACACAATGTTTTCTTTTCATAAAGCAAAACATATTATCATACTTTCCCCCACCAGGCTCTAATTTGAAACCACACTACCATAAAACATATCAGTATGTCTTAATTTCTGGGTAGCTTGATCCCACCCCAGCTTTCCTATATCTACCCTCCAGATCAGTTGGTGTGTGAGGTCTTAGCAGTGGCATCTTGAACATTCACAGAATACCGGGGATTTCTGTGACCCACTACCCAAAGTCCACATCTTATTACTCATCTGCCAGTCTCTAAAGGTAGGAGAAGGATATGCACTGAGGACATGCCATTTTAGGTCAAGCAGGGAATGTGCCTGGGCAGTGTATTCCAGCTCATCTTATTACCAAAGGTTCTGTCAAACTACCCGGCCACAGACCATCATTGGCCGTCTCCCTTATGGCTCTCAGGCTTAAGCCACTGACTGCCTGTGTGCCCCACTTGTCTTAACACGTTCTCAGGACTATCCTCTTTCCCTCATCATCATCACCACTGGGTTATAACGCTGCATTGCGTGGGAAGCGAGATATTGAGAAGTGTCCAGTGAAACAAACTCTCAAGTTACAACAGTGAAACTTGGTTGTGTGGAAACAGAAGCCTACATCAGTTTTGAAATCATATTGAGATTGACTTCTGTGATTATTTCATGCATTAAAAACTAATTGGCCAATAGAAAATAGTTTGCACAGGCCATCAACTTTCACTAGGCTGTTATAGGCATTGTCATCCTTTACAAGGCAGACACTTGTCATTGCAATGCCATTGGCTGATATCCCATTGACATACTGTTCCCCTGTTACTAGCAGAGGCCCATAACTGAACTCCATAGTAACCAGGCTTCCCACAGCAAAACAAGCTGAAATGTAGCCTCACATTGAAGTACTTTACCATTTTCTTTTCAGGACAACCAGGGCTATAAGTAGAATACAAAATAATTTGACATAAACAGTTGCATTCATGAGTTGTATTGACAAATGTTAATAAACAAATAAGGTCTGCCAAGCAAAAACCTGATCAAAAAAGTAATTTATAAGAATGCCGTAAGTACAGAAATTGTTTACTCAGTGGGAAATGAATGTCCAACTAGTCAGTGACAACTGTGTGGAGTTTGGAGTTTGTTACAGCAACTATGTGAGCTTATTACAGTATTATAGACATTATGTCCTGGGATTTCCTATGATCTTCTATGTAGAAGAACCCCTTACCTTCTAACGACTCTTGTGTAGATTGTGAGCGCCATAGAGCAAAACGTGAGTCTCAGCTATTCATAGATGGGTCATAAGAGTTTGTAGCTCATCATTCGGACTCTACAGACGTTTTTGTGAGAAGAACCGCCCCGGACCCCGCCCCGGACCCCTTCTGCGCTTGTCTCACAAACACTGCTCTAACTCAGCCCCCGTTAATCACACATAGTAATGGTTGGTATCATCGGAGACAGAAGAATAGACAAATCCAATGGTACAACTACAAGACTGTAGCTCAAACACACAATGTTTAAAAGGGGTTAGAAGTCCAAAACGCGCCGGTGTGACAGTGGGACTCAACAGGCAGTAGCTGAGTCAGCTCTTGTCCATGTGAGCTACGTTTGGCAGAACACAGCAGGCTAGCGTGTCATGCTGCCCAACACCAGCACACAGGGGGACATCTGTCCCTATATTTAGCCAGCGATGGGTGATACTGTTACATATTGAACTACAGGATCCTTCCGACTCGGCAGATTGCAGGGGACAAGGGGAGAGCCAGGGGGAATGGGAGATGGGTGAACGAGGGCCAGAGCAGGTTGTGGGCAGTAATTAAGACCATCTGCGTTCAACCTGAGCTATCTATGACAAAACTAAAATCCTCTCAGAACAACTCCTAAACCCTTCATCTTGCTTTGCCCTGTCAATGGCAAACACCAACATAAACCCAACTCTTAGGCATTTTTTTAAGACATTTGTTACTAATTCATCTTTATTATTTCGCTATTCAAATATATTACATTCTGTCGGTATAAAGTGTTTATTCCTGTATTGTCATTCTGTTTTATTTTACTTAAGAAGAAAACACTCCTACACATACAGTGCATTCTGAAAGTATTCAGACCCCTTGACTTTTCCACATTTTGTTACGTTACAGCCATATTCTAAAATTGATTAAATAGTTTTTTCCCCTCATCAATCTACACACAATACTCCATAATGACAAAGCAAAAACAGGTTTATAGATTTTATTAAAAATAAAAAAATGGAAATATAACATTTACATAAATATTCAGACCCTTTACTCAGTACTTTGTTGAAGCACCTTTGGCAGTGATCACAGCCTCGAGTCTTCTTGGGTATGACACTACAAGCTTAGCACACCTGTATTTTGGGGAGTTTCTCCCATTATTGTCTGCAGATCCTCTCAAGCTCTGTCAGGTTGGATGGGGAGCGTCGCTGCACAGCTATTTTCAGGTCTCTCCAGAGATGTTGGATTGGGTTCTGGCTGGGCCACTCAAGGACATTCCAAGACTTGTCCCGAAGCCCCTCCTGCGTTGTCTTGGCTGTGTGCTTAGGGTCGTTGTCCTGTTGGAAGGTGAACCTTCGCCCCAGTCTGAGGTCCTGAGCGCTCTGGAACAGGTTTTCATCAAGGATCTCTCTGTACTTTGCTCCGTTCATCTTTCCCTCGATCCTGACTAGTCTCCCAGTCCCTGCCGCTAAAAAACATCCCCACAGCATGATGCTGCCACCACCATGCTTCACCATAGGGATGGTGCCAGGTTTCCTCCAGACGTGATGCTTGGCATTCAGGCCAAAGAGTTAAATCTTGGTTCCATCAGACCAGAGAAACTTGTTTCTCATGGTCTGAGAGTCCTTTAGGTGCCTTTTGGCAAAGTCCAAGCAGGCTGTCATGTGCCTTTTACTGAGGAGTGGCTTCTGTCTGGCCACTCTACCATAAAGGCCTGATTGGTGGAGTGCTGCAGAGATGGTTGTCCTTCTGGAAGGTTCTCCCATCTCCACAGAGGAACTCTGGAGCTCTGTCAGAGTGACCATCGGGTTCTTGGTCACCTCCCTGACCAAGGCCCTTCTCCCCTGACTGCTCAGTTTGGTCGGGCGGTCAGCTCTAGGAAGAGACTTGGTGTTCTTGGGGACCTTCAATCCTGCAGACATTTTTTGGTACCTTTCCCCAGATCTGTGCCTCGACACAATCCTGTCTCGGACCTCTACAGACAATTCCTTCGACCTCATGGCTTGGTTTTTGCTCTGACATGCATTGTCAACTGTGGGACCTTATATAGACAGCTGTGTGCCTTTCCAAATCATGTCCAATTGAATTGACCACAGGTGGACTCCAATCAAGTTGTAGAAACATCTCAAGGGTGATCCATGGAAACAGGATGCACCTGAGCTCAATAGCAAAGGGTCTGAATACTTATGTAAATAAGGTATTTCTGTTTTTTGTTTTTAATAAATTTGCAAAAATTTATAAAATCCTGTTTTCGCTTTGTCATAATGGGCTATTGTGTGTAGATTGATAAGGACATATTTTTATTTAATCAATTTTATAATAAGGCTGTAACATAACAAAATGTGGATAATGGGAAGGGGTCCGAATACTTTCCGAATGCACTGTACATATTTGGCAGATGTAATATCAAGGAAAAAAGCGAAATACATATATGACAGGAAATACTCGATAGTTACATGATTGACACATCAAACATCCCAAGTGGCACAATAATGCCACGTTCAAAACAACTGGGTACTCGGAAATCTTCGACTTCCAACTTCAGTTCAGTGCGTTCAAGACAACTGGAAAAAAAAGAGCTCGACTGGGAAAATAGTTTTGAATGGTCATCCAACTCGGAATTTCAATTCGGAAACATGGGCATCCTTCTAGAACTCTGACTTTCCGACCTGAAGATCCCTGACATCATGATTTGACCTCGTTTTTCCAGAGTTCCCAGTTGTCTTGAAAGCACCATAAATACTGTAATTGTCAGCATGTTAGTGCTACAGTGACCACACAGTTACCGCAGCAAAAAGTTATTATTCACTCCCACAGCCTTATCAATCAACACACACAGGAATGGGCAGGTGTTTCTGCCTCTTCTAATGTATGTGTGTGTGTGTGTGTGTGTGTGTGTGTGTGTGTATGTTTAACTATTCTTGTGGGTACCGGAAGTCCTCACAAGGATAGCAAAGCAATGAAAATTCGGACAAGTGGGGACAATTTGCCGGTCCCCACGAGGAAAAACGCTATTGTATGCTTAGGGTTTAGGTTTAGCGTTAGGGTTACAATTAGGGTTAGCGTTACAATTAAGGTTTAGGGTTAGGAGTTAGGGTTAGGTATAGTTTTAGGGTTAGGGGTTTGGGGTTAAGGTTAGGCTTAGGGTTAGGTTAAGGGTTAAGGTTAGGATTAGATTTAGGGGTTAGGGAAAATCGGATTTTGGATGGGAATCAATTCTTTGGTCCCCACAAGGATAGCAATACAAAATTGCGTGCGTGTGTTTGGTTTGTGCTTTGGGTATCATGGGATACAGAGGCCAGTGTTCCATATAGTCTTTCAAAAGCAGAGTCTTGCTTCTTAAGTTCTTCTCCCAGATGGAAGAGTAGGAAGGCTGGGTGTGGAGGACGTGTGACGGAGGGAAAAGATGGACACCACAACTGGGGTGGAGTCCCGTACTTGAGGGTGGAGATTACTGCCAAATCTGCCGCCCCAAAACCCTTGTCATAGTCCATTCTGAGAGGTGTCCATAGTCCATGTCTTTGAGCGCGACATTTCCTTTGTTTTGCTTCCTCCAGGCATACCACGCAACTCTTCTAAAATTTATACTAGAATAGAGAGAAAGATAGACACACAGATGAGAAATACACATAGACCTACAGTATGCAAATTATATTTATATATTGTTGAATGCATGTTTGAGTGTTTGTCTCTGTTAAATATTTGCATGTACTTTATGTCTGTTCAAATCTTGTAGTTATTTTTTGTAATACTTTGAGCTTTTGACTGAGCCTGCCTGGAGTGCCAGATGAGCGGCGTTAGCACTTTATGGGAAATTCCATTGGTTACATTGTGGGGAATGGCTGCTGCATTACCGTGGTGAAGTGAACGATGATGAATATGGCGACGAAGAGGAGGCCGATGACGATGGAGGCGATGGCCACTTGGAGAGCTTTCTGACCCAGTCGGCGCGAGCCATCATAGTCTTGCAACTCATAACTTTTCCTGGACTGCATGGGGACAAGAGGGAAAACACTTCACTAAGGGAGCGTTCAACTTCACCAGCAGTCGTGGATTGTCTCTAAAATGTGTTGCTTACCATGACAATTTAAAGAGAAATATGATCATGGCTCATACCTACCTCATACTGAAGTAGACCTGTAATTGGAAAATCATTTGGAGTAAAATAAATGTGTAATATTTACATGTGATCCTCAAATGTGAATGAGGAATGGTACACATAACACCACACATGGGTTCAAATAGTATCCGTTTTCTTTCTAATATTTTGAGTGTTTGATTGAGCCTGGCTGGAGTGTCAGATGGGTGGGGATTTGCACTTTTGACTATTCCATTGAATACATTGCACCAGACAAGCTCAACCAAGGGCTGTTTAGAAGAAATACTATATGAACCCAGGTCTGCATAACATTGTGTGATTGTGTGTTTGAGAGAGAGAATAGAAAGGTGGAAGAGAAAGTAAGGGAGTCCAAACCCTTTGGATGGGAAAGTGTGTCAGTGACGTGGTGTTTTGAGAGGGGAGGGGAGCATGTTAGGAGGGCACATCGAGCATGTCAGAGGGCACTGCCCTACCACACACACATCTGTTCCTCTCATTAGACATGTTTGGTTCTCGTTTCTTCCTCAAACACAGACACATACACAGACAGACCGACACACCGTGCACATACACGCACGGCCACACGCAGATGATCAAATAAATACGGGATTACCGGTAGACTCTTTACCATATTACCAACACCACTTCACTTTCTCGGTCCCACAAAAACACACACACATCGTGAGAAAGTTGGGCCAGAGATCCTAGTGTGATCAGCCAGCTCTCAACACCGTATCTTATGACCTGACATGTAGTTTAAGAACATGTGAGAATTGCAGAGGAGAACTGTTGTCCTGGCAAGCATTCAAAGCTGGTGCACCAGATATTTTTTTTTACTGCTTGTTGCTGGAATCCCAGAAAAAAAACATGGAATCAGATTGTTTCCTTTAGAGATGCAGTCAAAAGCTAGAGCAGAGCTGCCTTCCGCTCTCCTCCGCATTCCTCATGCTTTTGAATAACCGCTAACGGACACAATCAGTTTCCACTAGCATTGCTACATTGTCCAATAATGCTAGCCAGATTATTCTGGACATTGCTAAATAACTAGCTAATGAATTTTTAAATGGTTTGGAGGAAACAACATCCTAGGGATGTTGAAAATAAGTTAAACTTCAAAAAAGCGAACTGTCCCTTTAATACTACATCAACAGAATATGAAATTAGGATTATTTTATAATTGCAAAAATTGTGAAATGCAATACAATATGTTTACAATGTATTCATCTTGCAACATATCACACTCTACATTGGCTTTTTCTTACATAGAAATTGACCTGATGTACTTTTCACACTATTTTCAATATATTTCTCATTCATTATTCAATACATTTATATTAGCTTTAAGACATATATTAGTCAGTGAGTAAACCGTTTCCCATATGCCTGTGATGTCCCCTACTTACCAATACTGAAAAGACCAGGGCTACAATGTTGACTGGGTACGCGGGGCAGAAGCAGGTGAGGATTGTTAGCCACAGGTAACTGTGGAGGGGAGGTGGAGGATGCTGTTCCCCCACAAAACTAAGTCTGTCAAAGTCTGCGCTCCCATTTAGGGAACTCTTAACACCCAAATGCCCTCTTATCGGCTCCAGAGCCAGAGGACGGGCCATGGTGTGGGCAACAGACGGCAGCAGAGAGCGAAAACACAGCCAACGAGAAGAAAAGAGAGACGAGCCACAAAACCGCTGGAGAAAAAGGGAAAGTTAAAATAGAGGGAGATAAAGAAATCTCAGGCCAAAAGAAAAATAATAATGGCCAAATGACAGAAATTCAGCAAACTGTAGGAATGGTACACCGCACAGGAAAGATCCCACAAAAGAGGAAAAAAGGGTAGGAAATCTGACTTGGACAAAGAAAGGATGGAATAGCCAGTGAAGGAGTAGAGTTGAGCAAGCTTCCCGGAACTGTCCGGAACTGATTGAGGGGTCTGAAGAAGGGAGGCAGGTGTGGAATGGGGGCGTCGAGAACTGTACCCCCGCATAAAGAGCTGACCTCATTTTCTTTAGGGTGGGCAACATTACTACCCCCCTCACACCCCACTCCCCAGAAAAGAGAAAGGAGGGAGAAGAGAGAGACCAGGATCTGACCTCATTTGCTGTGGCTAACATTAATCTCCTCCCTTCACACACACACACTGGCAGCCAGTCCTGGCCAACACTGAGTAAAGTGTGTGTGTTGGGGGTGGGGGTCCCTGTTTACCACTGGGACCTTTAGCATTCCCAAATTAGTTTGGTAAGTGTACAACATTGTATTTCCCACACTCACAAACAACATTTACTCACACTGCAGTCAATTCATCAATAAGACAAGGGTGACTAGCCAACCCTACTGCTTCTGTTTGAGCCCACCTTGAGCACACCTGGGTGGTGTTCAGTAGGCATGAAGCGGGACAAAATGTACTGTACCTAGTAAAATAAAGGTTATGTATTAATATGTGCTTTGTCCTGCCAAGGTCAGGAACAGTGCTGGAGTCCTTCCAAAATATATGTGTTGATGCTTCCCCCACATTTTGTTTTGGCATGAATCTGCTTCCATACAACTTAGTCTCAATCTCTTAACCCTCTAGAGTCTAAGCCGGGGGAGGGGGGGTTCTAAGCTAACATATGGAATTGTTTTAAGATGGTCATACCAAGGACCATTTAGCTATTTGATTTTGAATTTTAAATCCCCTTAAGGTACTCATAAAATATATACACAAATTATTGGATGAAACATTGAATTTGGCCTTACTGCTATCAGCCAGTAGAAACTCATTGAATAACAGATTCACTACATGGAACAACAGATAGTCCCCCCAAAAATAAAAAGGAAGTTTGTTCTGAAGTGTCTGTCCTATATCTGAGAGATATAAGAAAGATCAGGAAACTATATATATATTTTTTTTGTATTATATTAATTAGATTTCCGCTGGGCCTCAGAAATTGTAGGCTAAGAGTTAAAAAAATAAAACAGAACCACAATCTCAGTGGAATGCTTTAAAATAATTTATTAGGAATTTTAAAATGGACATTTCCAGAGGAGAAAAAAAAAGAAATACAATATGAGCAGGTGGGGAACAGTCCAAATAAAAGTTTAGTTACAGTGTTGGTCAAGACATTGGAGTTGGAGCTTTAACAACCAAGACCTTGGAGTTGGAGCTTTAACAACCAAGACATTGGAGTTGGAGCTTTAACAACCAAGACATTGGAGTTGGAGCTTTAACAACCAAGACCTTGGAGTTGGAGCTTTAACAACCAAGACCTTGGAGTTGGAGCTTTAACAACCAAGACCTTGGAGTTGGAGCTTTAACAACCAAGACCTTGGAGTTGGAGCTTTAACAACCAAGACCTTGGAGTTGGAGCTTTAACAACCAAGACCTTGCCCCTTTTCCGACCCTGAAGAAAGCATCAACATAAACAAACAAAAAACACCAGCATCTTAAAAATCACTGAATCATTATTATACACCGGGAACGAAATCGGTCAAGAGAAAAATAGAATTTCCTTTTGTTCTGAAAAAAAGTAAATGCTATACTCATATTGCCATTAATAGCAGTATTATTATTCCTAAGATAAAAAATAACTTATTGCTTTTTGTAAGTTAAAAAGTTACAGTGTTCGTGTCCAGCAGTAGTTTTGTGTTGTGCCCCAGCCAGTCCGAGAAGGGCAGTACTAGCCAGTATAAAATGGGAGATTCTTGTTCATGTTTAGTGGAAGACTTTGTGGAACATCATTTTTAATTTGAATTTGAAATAGCTCTGTGAAAAGAGAGGGGACAATTCCACTATGTCTCCTCCTCCATTCCAGCTACTGGTCTGTGTATACCTCTTTTATGTACGGATTGGGACAGAGGCTGCGTTCCATTTCGGTTTACCTAGCCCCTAGTCCCTAGATCTGAAAGGACACATAGGATACGTGGTGTTAGACCAAAATGGAACCAGCCAAACATTTCAGTACCAAAATGGCAGTCAAAAGATTTTTTAGAATCTAGCTAGTTCCATACTTCACCTCACTATTGTGCGCGCACACATCACACACAAACAAACACACGTTCACACATAATGACACAATCACCTTCTAAGGTCATCAGATGACAAATACAACCATGATGTAACCGTTTTTTAAGAGTCAATTGCTTTGTTAAATATGTCCTTCATTTGTTTCTACGGTCCATATGACCGTACATAGAACAGCAAGAAAGAAACAAGAAACAAAATAAAACATAATGAAGGAAAATAGAGCAAAAATATATATACTTTCCCCCCCAAAAAGTTGTATTAAAGCCCACCCAATCCCCCTTAACCCCGACCATGCACCCTCACCATAGCCAATTAAAAACCTTCAGGGCCTCACTTCAGTTTTTCCTTATCTCTGTCAGGGATACGTGGATGTCATGTCCATAGAAATAAAATGACTAGAACAGGAATCCCCATTCAAGTAATTATACTTCTATGGTTATGTCACTTGGTAAGACTGTGCCTTTAAGGGGTCCAATTCAATAGAAATCAGTTACTGGCATAACTCATGCAGATTTGGAATGCACACAATACCGTTAATCCATGTTTACAGTAAGAAACTAAATGAAAGGAAAGGGAAAGGACTCAACTGTGTGAGAATTCCAGCGTGTTCTCTTGTTGTTACCAATTTCTAATGAAAAGGGTCTTATCATTCCGTCTTATTTACAAATATCATCTAGTCTTCAACCCTGCTAATGCATATTGTTGGCCTAAACACCAAACAGATGCCGAGGGGATAGCCACTTTCAAATAGAAAATTACCTGCCACTGTACAACACGTTTGTTGTAGTAGTCAAGCAGACTTCCAGTTAAAATGGCGCCGAACGATTGATAGTAACCCCGCCTGCCGATCAAAGTTCAACATCCCCTCCCTCCTCCCCTACACCACCCTCCCTCCTCCCCAACACCACCCTCCTCTCAAACTCTATATACAATATTTTACAGGAAGAAAATAAAACATTCCTTTCAAAACCAATTACGGAATAAAATACCTTACCGATTATCATTATTATCGTCGCGTTCAATATTAATAACAATATTACAAATGTTTTGTTTTAAAAACTATCAAAATATACATTTTAGTTTTCTTTTCATGTTTCCTGTGACACGTTTGTTAAAAATGGAAATTACATAATTTCTTTGTTCTTCCTCAGTTTACATGGGTTAGGTACCCCTTTTGACAAGGAGACCCCATCCCACACACCAGTTCATCTCTCTCTACTCCTCTCTTCTCCTCCATCTCACCTCAGTAACACATTAAAGGGAGGTCAACGGAACAGACAATACATCAAAACATTGCGATTAAATAAAAAAAACTCAAATATAAAGCAAAACAAATCTGACAGAATCTGTGTTTGCCTTGAGCATAACCGACAAACATTATTTTCTCACTTATTTTTTCAGCCAGAGCAATATTTAAAAAAAGAAACAGCATTGTAATCTAATGAAATAAACCTATGTGAAGGTAAAGGATAGGAGAAACAAGGGATTGAGAAGAGGGAGTGATATTAGTACAGGAAAACAGGATACAGAAGAAAAAAAGAAAAAAAAGATCTTCAGTCGGTGGGTGGAGTCAGGAGGAGCCAGGGGGTGGGGGGGTTTGACCTGTGGCCGCCAATCGGATTGTGCCATGGGTAGGCACACAGCAGTTTGATTGGCTCATCAGCAGAAGGGACCTCCTCCCGTGCCCGGTGATTTGCTAAATCTGCTCAGTGGTAACCGTTGGTGAAGGCAGTAGCGATAAGAGGACCCTGAGAACGAAGAGAGACACACTGACTATTAGAGACAGAGCAGCTGGTAGATAGTTTGAAATGAAGAAAGGATATGGTTTACAAAATTGCCAACATTTTATTGATTTGTCATTATCCAATTTATACTTCCAGATACATGCCACATATCGGGCTCCTTTAGCTGACTCTTATAGATCCCTCTTCACGATATTCCAACCCTGGGTCATATTCATTAGGCACCAAAAGGAAGACAACAGACTAAAGCAGGGAACTAGTCAAATTTCCGTTGTGAAACATGATAGTGACGTACCCCAAGACTGTGGCCGAATCCTGAGTTGGGGCCAGGACTGGCTGCGCTGAGATAGCTGCTGAGTGCTGAGTCCTGACTGGCTGCCGCATACAGGTCAGCCATTGGCCCAGGGCTGCTGGTGCCTAGGTAGCCTGCGTTACGCGACTGGGTGGAACCTGAGAGCGAGCGAGAGAGAGAGACAGAGCCAGTCAATCAGTCAGTCACATACACATAGACAACAGACAGAATGATGAAGGATAATTATCTACCTCTCATAGCAGCTGCTGCTGCTGCCATTGGTCCATAGGCTGACAGTGGAATGGCTGAGGGACAGAGGAGAGAGGGACAATTTCAGATGTCTTCTTTTACCTATACGTCACCTTACAAAACAGTGTTTGAATTAAGTTGGCCAGACTATTCATTGCCAGGTAGTTTACAATTTTATTTTACTCCCCAATTTCGATCTTGTCTCATCACTGCAACTCCCCAACGGGCGGTGAAGGTCGAGTCATGCATCCTCCGAAACATGACCCGCCTAACCGCGCTTCTTAACACCCACCCGCTAGCCACACCAATGTGTCGGAGGAAACACTGTTCACATGACGACCGAGGTCAGCCTGCAGGCGCCCGGCCCGCCACAAGGAGTCGCTAGAGCACGATGAGCCAAGTAAAGCCCCCCCGGCCAAACCCTCCCCTAACCCGGACGACGCTGGGACAATTGTGCGCCACCCTATGGGACTCCCGATCATGGCCGGTTGTGATACAGACCGGGATCAAACCCGGGTCTGTAGTGACACCTCTAGCACTGCGATGCAGTGCCTTAGACCGCTGCGCCACTCGGGAGGCCGGTAGTTTACAGTTTTAAAGATGGTGAAACCGTGCCCAAAATATCCAAGTGTAACATTGTTGGGGTCAATTCCATGATTCATCAATAAAAAGTGTTATATCAAAGTTAGGATTGAACCCTTCCCGATTGGAAAAAGAGGGCCATTGCACCATTCCACCACAGGTTGGCGATGTTGCCTTATAAAGACAGAGATCGAGAGCTACTTGTAGATCTTAGAGGAGTGACTGACCTGTGAGCTCAGAGGGGTGGGATGATGTCAGAAGGGTGGTCCTCTCTAAATGGAATTCTAGAACAGAAATGTCAAGAGAGTGCTTTTTTAATACAAACACCATCTATGTGCCAATCGACTCACACACATACACATACACTTACATGAACATGTGCACACACACATGCAGGCACATAGGCACACACACACAAGCAATCAATTATAATGGGTATGAGAGACTACAGGGGAGAAGGGTGGTAGGGGAAAAGGAGAGAAAGGAGGAGCAGTGAGGGAAGAGTGGACATGGAAGAGAGATAAAAGTGCAGCAGAGATTACTTTTCACATGAGAGGGGAAGGGAAGTGGAGAAAAGGACTGGGGAGAGGAGGAGGACAAATCTACAAGCAGCCAGACTCTGCCATATGTGTTTATACATGGAGTAAAAAGTGTAGGTATGTCTATGTGTTTGGCACTTAACGTAAAACTAACATCAGTATGTATCTGACATTAGGCCAATGCATTGTTTCTGTTGTCAGACCTAGACAGTTCTTTGGATGAACAACAGACTCAAGTCGTCTGTAACTCATACTCTACATCAATAAGCGTGACAGAGAGAGCGATGCTCATATACCAGGGAACTGGTAGGTGTATCCAGGCGTGATCCCAGGGTAGCCGCGGCTAGCGTACGTAGCTGCTTGGAAACCTGGGTAGCCTGTGAAGAGAGACAAATAAATACCTATCAGGATATGGCTGAACACAGTTGAAGGAGATGATGCTATTGCATTCATATTAGACCTCATGTAGCATGTAGCAACTAGCACTAGAACTCAGTACCATGCTGTTGCCATAATTGACCTGTAGGTGGAGCAAGATACTATGACTTCACTGTGGGCCATAGCCTCCTTGAGTCCCACTGAAACACATCCCCCTCTACCTCTCATCTCTTTAGCCCTGCTCTCCAGTACTGGGCACAAATTCATAAAGCATCTTTGAGTGGGAGTGCTGATCTAAGATCAGGTCTCCCCTGTTATATACTGTAGATCGTATTCATTGTTAAAAAGGCAAAACTGATCCTAGATCAGCACCCTTACTCTGAGAAGCTGTATGAATACGGTTCCAGAGTGTTTAGCGGCAGCTAAATGACAGTGTTATTGTTCTTACCCAGCATGCCGATCCCCAGCATGAAGGCGTCCATGCCGTAGGGCATCACCCTGGCACGACCTCGAGCCGTACCCGTAGGTGACATCACTTCCTTGGGCTGGGCTTTCTTGCACTCCACCTGGAGAGGAATGTAAATTATTTTAGATATTCTGCATATAGACACACACACTCCTCACTATCAACACTGACACACACATTCACACATATATATACACACATTGCCTGCATACATACCATTTTGTTGTTGATTTCGTGGAAGTGGATCTCACACACTTTCTCCACCATGTCTTCATTCTCGAAGGTCACAAAGCCGAAACCTGAGGGACACAGGAACACAGACTGCTTTACCTTCCCACTATGGCCATTTGTTTCCATTTTCTATCAAACTGACTGCAATCATGACTTCACATGTCCAGTTATTCCAGGTTAGGGGTCACCAAGGAAGAAAAGGAGATGAGGGAAGGAGGCGAGGAAAAAAAATAATGATTGGGACACAGCCCATGTTTAATGCTCCCTTTGTCCTCTTTCCTATCCTCATATACTGTATACTTCTTTCCCCCATCCCTCTCTCCCTCAGAGCATATTATAACGTTTTATTTGCTTTCATCTATTCAATCCCTTTCAGATGACAGAACATAAAGGTAGCAGAGACTCCATCAAAGTATTGAGACTCACCTGGTCTCTCCCCCTTTCTCTCCCTACTCTATTACCTGTCCCTTCTCCCTTCCCTCCCCCACACCTCAAGAGGCTGTGAGGGGATTTAGACAGGTTTGCGTGCCCTAACTGTCAATCTGTCGCCATGGTGAAGGGGGATGGGGTGGAGTATTAGCTAAGGTTTTAGCCTGAGCCCCGATTAAACGAGCTGACCAATGAACCCTTCTCGCCTTCCTTTACTTGTTCCTCCCTGACTGATTCACACTATAGGGCCGACCTGAACTGTACTCCAATGGCTCAGATACCTTGTTTTCACATTGTCCTTTCCAGCATGGTTCCAGCAACTATGGTGGATGCCTAACCAGCTCAGCCCAGTACAGCTCCCGCACATTAAAATACACATTGCATGTGTATCAGCATGAGTGTGTGTTTATCTACACAATGTGTGAGAGTCTGATAATGTGTGTTAATGTGTGTGTTATTTGTTTCCGCATAACATTATCTACACTACAAATCAATGTGTGCTATGCTGCCATTCCATGCATGGCTGAACCAAGGATCAGGCTCTTCAATACTTTCACAATGTAAGAGGTTTACTTTTGCACCAACAAACCAGCTAGTATGGTCTGCCAATTGATCTGAGAGAAGATTATCACAATGAATTGTGTGTGTGTGTGTGTGTGTGTGTGTGTGTCAGCTGGTGTTTCGTGGCAATACCTCTGTGTCTGTTGGTGGTTTTGTCGAACATGAGCATGGCGTCATCAACCTATGAGAGAGAGAGACACAGAGAGAGATGAGCTTGGACAAACACACACACACACACACACACACACACACACACACACACACACACACACAGCATGGGGCTTCATTGTCCCTCCTTCAGGCCCTGTACTTCGGAGCAAGAGAGGAGAGGGGGCTAACAGATGGAGAAAGAGGAAGGGAACGAGGGAGGTGACAGGTGACAAAGGAGGAGGAGAGAAAGAAGGGGGTACAGGGGAGAGGAAAAAGAGCGTGGGAGAGATGAAGAGAAAAGGGGAGAAAGAAGAGGCAGTCCTTCTTTCTATGTGAAGTTAAACAGTCTCACTCCCCAAGTTCTAGGAGGGAATATTTACTCTCTGTCTCTCTCTCTCTCTCTCTCTCTCTCTCTCTCTCTCTCTCTCTCTCCCTCTCTCGCTCTCTCTATGCAAATATATATATATATACTGAGTGTACAAAACATTAGGAACACCTTCCTAATATTGAGTTGCACCCCCTTTCGTCCTCAGAATAGCCTCAATTCGTCGGGGCATGGACTCTACAAGGTGTTGAAAGCATTCTACAGTGATGCTGGCCCATTATTATTATTTTTGACTCCAATGCTTCCCACAATTTTGTCAAGTTGGCTGGATGTCCTTTGGGTGGTGGACCATTCTTGATACACATGGGAAACAGTTGAGTGAAAAACCCAGCAGCATTACAGTTCTTGACACACTCAAACTGGTGCGCCTGGCACCTACTACCATACCCTGTTCAAAGGCACTTAAATATTTTGTCTTGCCCATTCACCCTCTGAATGGCACACACACAATTCATGTCTCAAGGCTTAAAAATCATTTTTTTAACCTGTCTCCTCCCCTTCATCTATACTGATTTAAGTGGTTTTAACAAGTGACATCAATAAGGGATCATAACTTTCATCTGGATTCACCTGGTCAGTCTATGTCATGGAAAAAGCAGGTGTTCCTAATGTTTTGTGCACTCAGTGTATATTTGGTAGGGGGGTAAGCTTTTCACAAACTCTGTGTCCTGTTCTCTAGCTCTTTGTTCTCCGCTCCACAAAGTTGACTATCCCCATGGAGACCCTGTAAATAATTTCAATTAGGAGAATTTACCCTGCTCTCACCACTCTCACTATGAATAGAACTACAGAGAGAAAGAATTGTGTGTGAGAGAGAAAGAGAGAGCGAGAGAGAGGGCAAAAGGGGGAATTAAGAGAGGGGGACAAAGTTGAAAAAGGGCTTACTAGAGGGAGAGAAAATGAATTTTGCGTGGAGACGCAAAGAGAGGAGGCGAGAGATAGTTCAGGACAGAATAAGGATGGGAGGGGGATTGGTGCATATGAAAGTGTGGGTTGAGAGTGAAAAGAGTTGGGGGAGAGAGAGAGAGAGTGAGGGTTGGATGGACAGAAAGACAGACAGAGGGAGAGGCAGGGAGAGAGAGAGAGAACAAAGAGAAGTGGGGGCTTTGTCAACACGCACCCCTTTCATTCTTCCTTTCCCTCCGCTTTTCTTCTTTTTCTCCTACTCTTCTCCCTGCAGCCCTATTCATGCTGACCCCCTCCCTCCCCTCTTTACTCTCCTTTGCTGGTAAGAAAGTTAGCACAAACTCTCCTCTAACAGAGGAACTGTGAAACTACACCATGTTTTGCCAGTGAGAGACATTATCAGTATTACCATCGCTAAGACACACACACAGCATGACTGCATTGCTATTTTCATTACCTATTAGCATAATGAAACACAACACGGGGTGAAATATGAGTGGAGGAAAGCTCTAGACCCCAGTTTGATTTCTAACCTTTGAGATCATCTGATGGTGTCTTGATGAAAGCAGCACATATAACTAAAGTACTAAAGTAAAAATACGTGAAAGTACTACTTAAGTAGTTTTTTTGGGGTATCTGTACTACTATTTATATTTTCCCTGACACCCAAAAGTACTCGTTACATTTTGAATGCTTAGCAGGACAGGAAAATGGTCTAATTCACACACTTATCAAGAGAACATCCCCGGTCATCCCTACTGCCTCTGATTTGGCAGACTCACTAAACAGTGTGAGTGTTGGAGCGTGCCCCTGGCTATCCATAAATAAAATAAATAAATAAAATGGTGCCGTCTGGTTTGCTTAATATAAGGAATTTGAAATTATGATACCTAGTTTATTTTAGCATTTACATTTATTTTTGATTATTTTTATATTTAAAACCAAATACTTTTAGACTTTTACTCAAGTAGGATTTTACTGGATGACTTTCACTTTTTATTGAGTAATTTTCTATTAAGGTATCTTTACTTTTATTCAAGTATGACAATTGGGTACTTTTTCCACCACTGCTAATATATTTAGTTTATTTGAATAATCTAAAAAACAAAGTTTACACAAGCTGTGAGGATGTGTGAGAAATATTGTGTGTGAGTGTGTGTTTCTGCATGTGTTTCACTGCGTGTGTGCATGGAATATCGAAAAGGTCAGGGTTGGAGACCCGTTAGTCCAACTGAGCTATGACCTCTCTCTCTCTCTCTCTCTCTCTCTCTCTCTCTCTCTCTCTCTCTCTCTTTCTCACACAAAAACACACAGCCCCCCCCCCCCCCCCCCCCCGTCCGTCCGTCTACCCTCTGTCCTTCATTCATTTTTTATCTCCCTCCTCCCCCCTCTCTCTCTCTTCACCCTTCCGGTCCTCCAAACCCAATGACGCAGCAAAGTCCAGACAGGGAGAGTAAGTGGACAGCTGCAGCACCAGAGACATGTTATCATAAGCGTTGTGTTACATGGTCAAGTAGGCAAGTAGCCTCCTGTTAGCATTAGCACTATCTATTCTAGACGATAACCATTCATTAGTATTAGGCTAACACATGAAGGTGTGAACACAAAACAGCCACCTTTAGCCGTATACAGTGAGGATAGCTAACTGTGATTTATACTAATTTACTTGCTAGCTAACATCTTGAAGTTTGTAGCTGTGGGTAAGCTTTATTGACCAAACAAAACCTACTGGGCACAGACGTCAATTCAGCGTCTATTCCAAGTTGGTTCAACGTTAATTTAATTGAAATGATGTAGAAACAACGTTGATTCAACCAGTGTGTGCCCAGTGGGAAGTGTTAGACCTACTGTTACTGAGTCACAAGGATATTGCTACATGCTAGCTTTGTGTCTGAGAGGACAGTTAGCCTCCTGGACAAAATCAATAGGGAAACAACCTGTTGTCCACTGTTCCAGAGAAGTGTAATACTATCTGGCTGAACTATAGCGCCTTGTATTTACCTCAGCACGGATCACACTCACTGCCCAGTACAAAAGGATGCCCTTTACAACATGTCACATAACATTCTCATTTCGTAACATTGACAAGGAGCTTTTCAGGAACATTCTGAGAACATTTTCAGTCACATAATTTTCTGGGAATGGTTTCAGAGAGCTGCTAGAAATGTACAGAAAGACAACTTTTTCCACAGAGAATGTTCTGTAAATGGGAATGTTCTCTCACCGCCAATTTCAAAGAAACTGGACAAACCAAGAATATTTTGCAGCCCTTTGTAAACATCCACTGAAGAAGACTGTTTTGCTGCTAGGTAGGCTATGAGACAGTACAAACCGTTACCTATTTGCAATGAACATGTGGGCTTCAATCCCTCAGTTCAAACACCCAAACACAGTCAGTGTCTAAATCACCTCAACCGTCTTCCTCTCTCACCTCTGTTTTACTCTTCCTTTGCTCTCTTTACCTCTCTCTCTCTCATCCCTCTCTCCACCCATCTCTCCAAACAGGCCGGCAAACAAAGTGTCCAGTGAAGCCCTCTAATCACCAACTCACATGGCTGACTGGAGCCCAACTTTTTCCTTTCTGTCCTATCCACCCCTCCCTCCCCATCCCTCTTTCGTCCATTTTACTCCCATCCCTCTTTCGTCCATATAGTTTGTTGACTCTTCGAAGTGAAGAACCACTGCTGTGTTTTTACACTGTACTTTAAGGCAGAGTGTTATCCGATGGTTTCCCAGTACTGTTTTGGAGGGCAGGGCTGGAAAAAGGATAGTGGGAACGCCGGGATAGAGTGCTGGGGAGCACAGCGGACCTCAGGCCGGGCACGGCGGGGGCGTAAAACGAGACTTGTCTCTGTGAGATTCCGACCTGCTTCCCAGACAAACATGGCCGCCAGTGAGCGGTGGTATCAGCTCGTTTGAGGAACCCGTGTACGGTTACATCCGGTTGGTCAATCACATCAAAGAAGAAAGGGCTTTCATTTTGCACTAGAATGACATTGATGCCCATTTAAGCCCAAATGCTCACAAAATGCTCATCTGATTTTGAAGTGCACAGAACAAAATGGTAAGAAATGGTCAGTTATGTGTGTGTGCTGGATTATTTCACGAGACTGCCCATTTCTAAATCAAGTGACAAGCTCTCTCCAAGACACGCTGCTGTGCAAATCAAATGCTGGAAGCGCAATGTGGGAATCTGCAATGATATCATTTGGCCCAAGCATCTCCTATGTGGGGGTTGATACTTCACAAGATCCAAGCCTCCATCAGAACTATTTCCTCTCCTCCTCTACCCCTTTCCTCTCTTCCTCTACCCCTTTTCTCTCCTTCTCTTACACCCAATAGTTTCTTCCTCTCTCCGCCCCTCAAAGGGACATCATCAAGCCCCTTTAAGGGGATGGTGATTCTGTCTTTCTAGAACGTTCTCTGTCCACTGCTGCTCAAGACAGTCAGGACACACTGTTTTAAGTCGGTGAATGTTAGACATGTGTGATGCCCGACCAGTATGTGCGTGTGTGTTTATGTGTATAAGCCTTTTTATTTTACATAGATTGCTAAATTACCAAGGGACAATGGCTAAAAGCAGGTCACCAAGGCAACAGGCTGAGAGGGAAAGAGTGTGTTTTGGGATGGGGGGGTCAACGAACTGAGGTTGGTTGTGTGTGTGCGGGTTGGGGGGGGGGTCTTGTTGCAAGAGCAGCTGTTGCATTAGATTAGTTCAGAATTAGAGACCCCCCCTCCTCCTCCTCCTCCACTTCGCCACTGTCCTCCCTCCCTAACTACACCTCTCTCTAGGTCAAACTTCTTCACTCGTTCTCACCCTCCTATCTTCCTCTTCCCATTGATTCCAGACAGTTTGTAAACTTTTTATGGGGTTCAGATCTTCATTCCGTTACATCACCTTTTCTTCAGCCATCACATTTCCCCCCTTCGCAGTTCTACGAGTTGGTTCTTCTCATTCTCATGCATTCCTCTTCTCTCCTGCAGTTTGAAAACACTTCCCTTCCGAGTACACCTCTCTGTCTCCATGAGGTGCCTCTTCACTCTTTTCACCCCACTTTCTACCCCTTCCCTCTTTCTCTCTTTTAAGACATTCCTCTGTCATCCCAGCATGCGTTTGTCTTTCACTGCATTTCATTCAAATAGGCTTAACTGGCTTGAAGAAAAATGGAACAGACGAAGCAACTCAAACAACAGCAATGGGAGCAAAATGGAAGACAGAAATGCTAATATCGATTAGAACTAATGCTCTTGTGTTCCCTCCCTCTCCCTCTTCTCCTTCATCCCTTTCAACTCTTTTCTGAAATTAGCCACGCTTACCGTGTCTCTAACCCACATGTGGAATGAGAGAAAAAGAAAGACAAAAGAGAGAGAAACAGGAAGACAAATAGGCTGAGAAAACCAGAGATATAGTGAAAGGGGACATTGAATGAAAAAAGAGAGGGCACTTAGAGAAGCTTTGTCTGAAGTTGATCTTGGCAAAATGGAGAACAACTCCTGATTCGAGATATAGAGTACATGTAATGTAATTCGCAGCAACAGCATGTCAACAAACGTGTCTTAACACAGTGCATCATTTACCTTTCCAAACTGGTCAAAGTACTGCTTGACGTCTTCGATGGTTGTGTTCACTGAGAGGCCACCCACAAAGATCTTCTTTGTCCTGGTCACCAACTAACAACACAGAGGAGGAGGACACACTATCATTAACACACAATACATTGAAAAGGCTAGATGTTTCAGGTAATAAAGATCTAAGGGTATTCACAGGATTTAAGAGAGTAGTGTTAAGCAGTACAAATATCTAGGGAGGGGGTTGCCAGCCACTCGGAACCGCATAGTACAGTAATAAGACAATTTATTTGAATGCAAAAACAAAATGTGACTCTGCAGGAAGACTTATTATTAAGACTGTGTGTGTATGTGTTGTGCCTGTGTCTTTAGGCTGGCAGAGCACCCCATTTCTTATGTATTTGGGTTGTATAGAAGTCGGCTGAGGGTGGGGTGAGGGGGATTCCTGCCCCTGTTGCCCTAAATCTGGTGCGGCAGGCGGGCCTCCCCTGATGGGACATGACGGCTGTGACGTCACCTTGGCCTCCAGGATTAAGGATGAGAACTCACCTTGGGTTGGGCTCGACGAGGAAATGCCACCTTGGGATCAATCTGGAGGGGGGGGGGGGGGGGGGGAGACAGAGAGAGAGAGTGAGTTAAAAACTGGTGGACAAAAACACTTGGAGACAATACTACCACTCACTAGTAATGGTGACTCACAGTTCAAGACAACGGACCACAAACTTTTACAGTATTTGAGAGGTATTACATTCCATTTCTATGACAGCCCCCAAACCTGTGATACACTGGAGTCATTTACTTTCTCCAATGCAGTGGCAAACTACATACCACTAGCCTGGTCCCAGATCTGTTTGTTCTGTCTTGCCAACTCCTATGGTCAGGCTATATGAGTTGGAAAGACAGCACAAACAGATCTGGGACCAGGCTAGCATACCACTGTATAATTGCAACACAACAAAACTTTAAATTCATACAGGATATCAATTAATAGACTCATGTCGACACTGATATTCACAGGCGCTGAAATTCTGACCGGAGAAAACAGCTTCTGTGCACGGCATTGTAAGCCGTGGAGGATTTGCATAAAGGCTCAGGTTTCTCACGTGTCTTTCTAGTCAAATCAGGGTCCGCGGTCTTGGAGGCTCAGTTGGTATGAGCATGGCTCAAGCAACGCCAGGGTTGTGGGTGCGATTCTTGCTGGGGTTACATACTGTATACTAAAATCTATGTACTCACTGTACTGTAAGTCGCTTTGGATAAAAGCGTCTGCTAAATGACATATTATTTATTATATATTATGGTGACTAGCTGAGGAGCAGCAATGGCTGCTGTTTGAGTGAGACGGAGGAGACTCCCCCTCACCCCACGGTGTAGGACGGAGAGGAGGGGAGGACTGTCGTCCACAGCTGGCTTCAGAGTTGACGAAGGAAGGAGACTACAGAGCATGGCTACCGTTGGCAGGCGTGGTACAACAGCTCGATTGTTGAGCACCCGCCACCTTTTATAATTCTGTTTCTTGTTTACTCCAAATGCTGGGACGAAACCATGAATTCAACTGATCATCTCATCCTTGTCACTCAATACATATGTCTATAATGACACTTCTTGAGTCAAACAAGAGCCTGATCATCCCAATAGTTTAGTTGCATTTTATTTTCAAAATATTCCTATCAAGCATGCTCATGTAGTGCTCAGAAATCAGTAAAACAAAGCATGTTTGTCACAAAGATAGAAAATCGCAACAAAAAGCAAAGGACCAACACCCCTAACTAAGTCTATTTTGGACAAAGTTTGACTACTACAGTAGAGTGCTATAAGCTACATCATGCCATGCTGTTTAGTATCATCACATTATAAAGTAATGACGGGGTACATATCTACAGCACCTAGAACAGACAGTACTCAAATAAAGAAGAGCACAGGTATAGATATTACAGTGAATGTAGGCCCACACTATGGCCTCTATAGAAGACTCAGCATGCTACTCTTTTAGTTCAGCCCAAATGGGTGTATTCCACAAACCAGGAGCAAAGAGCCAGCTAACGTTCATAAATATTCAGAAACAACTCTGCATGTCCTTGATCGCGAAGAATGACTCAAAATGGCAATGGTATAACTGACTTTTAATAACCCATATTCAACTTTCTTTCTTTATAATAACTGATATTAATAACGCTATAATGGAGTGTTTATAAATGTTAGCCGGCTGACTTGTTCATCCTGCTTTGTGACATACAACCCTGATGGGTTTTAGAGAGCAGAGAAGGATCCCATCAAGCCAGAGCCTATTGGTTTAGTTGTTTATGTTAAGACAAGACTAGACTACATCCGATATTCACCTCAAACTGCCAAACCCATCCAGACATGTTTAAAACTGAAACAAACAAGCAAAGTGAAGGCATTACAAATCATCATTAGCACATGGTTGCCAACACATGTCGGAAAGCAGAGCCTAAAATGTTTTAATCTTACAACATTCACATTATACTCTCAGAGCACTTCTGTTAGGCTACATTTTTGGTTTCTTTCGTTTTTTTTAAATGTATTTTCATCGTGTGTATGTGGGGATTTTAAGGATAGGGAAGGGGGAAGAGATTGAATGAGCAAGAAAGGAAGAAAAGAACGAAATAAAGAAATAGTAAAGACATAACTAAACCAAAGAGAGGAGTTTGAGTAAGTGAAGGAGAGGGCGAAAAAGAATGAAAGAGAGAGGGAGCTAGGCCTAGATCGAGGGAGACAGGGAAAGACAGAGTGAGAGAGGAGAGAGAGAGTGGCTATTCATTTTAAAACAAAAACTCCACATGAGAAAGTGGGCCCGCCCATTTGTGAGCAGGGAGTCCTGGCCCAGCGGGCAGCCCCTCTGATTTCATTAATTAACAGGACAAAAGGGGACAAAACAGATGGACCCGCAGAGGAACAGGGTCTCCGCCAACCACCCCCCACTCACACACCCTGATCGTGCGGTTAAACACATAAAACACACACACGCACAACAGGCTCCACCAAAGCACTGCTTCTACTAACACATTCTCTCAATAAAAAATTGTTTTGCAAGGAAAACACACAGCCACACAAATAGTTAACGAAAGTGTGCTATCCTATCCTAATTCAACACTTTATAAAATACATCTGTTTAGAAACAACCATACTAAGAAGTTTGGAAGGTAGCTAGGCTAGCATGTCACTTTGTGGACGGCGATTTGATTTGGGTCTGGGCCATCAGGGTCAATCTGCACAGCTGAACAACTGCAGAGTAATTAGTTAATGAAGTCCACTAATGAGGCCCCCTACCCTACCCCAAGACCTGGCTAGGACAACCAATGTGTGCGTACGTTCATGTGTGTGCGACTAATCACATCCTTCAGGAGGGCAGGTACACACTCGGGGATGAGGCTATACTTCAGAAGCGCAATCCAGTTTGTTTCCTTCAATCCAATTAGGTGCCTCTGAGATCCATACTAATTACAGATGTAGTTTCTTAATTTGATCACCCTGTTGCAGGAGAACCTTCCTGCTGCAATGCAGGAAATGTAAAACTTGTAGTTTATTTGAGGTTTAAAAAGGCTTATTTTCCTGCTGTAGCAAACTGGCTCAAATTAAGATCCTACACTTGTACAGACCAGGGTTCGGCCTCTCTCGCTTTTCCCTTCCATCTTCTCCTCCATCCCCCTTTCGTCTCCTCTGACCCTGTCAGCACCAGAGAGCTAATCTCCATTGAGCCATGACCTGGGACAGTGCTAACTGCTAATGCTAACCTGGTTCCCACCCCATACGGAGTCCAATCAACCAATATTCAGTCCGTGAACAGAAACACAGTCAAATTCAATCATCAGATTTGAATCGTTGCAAAGTGTGGGTTTTGATGACGTGCTAAATCTCTATTCTTGCTCTGAGTCTGGTAATGAGTTTTCCCCTTGTGAAAGAAAAATATAACTATATTATCTGTGAGCCGTTTAGCATTGCTGCTAGCTAACTTTAACCAGGCCTCTCACTGTTAACCAGGCCTGTGGTATCACTAAACTGTTCTATAATTGCTAACCATCAGTAATAATAAATAATAATAAGCCATTTAGCAGACGCTTTTATCCAAAGCGACTTACAGTCATGCGTGCATACATTTTTGTGTATGGGTGGTCCCGGGGATCGAACCCACTACCCTGGCGTTACAAGCGCCGTGCTCTACCAGCTGAGCTACAGAGGACCACAAACTGTAAACTGCCTATTCATGTATGTATAAAAATAAGTAAATACATGTATGTATAAAGCTTTATTACAAGGGTCAGTAATCTGCCTCAAGCATAACCAACATCATTATGTATTAATCTAATGCAATGGTTAACTATGTACATGTAATAACGTTCATGAGCAGTTTATGACCAGACCTTCAAACAAAATAATAAAGTGTAACCAAAGTTCTTTCTCACACTCTTCATGATGTATATTCAATGCAGCAACACTAACATACCCAATCAACTGATTGGTAGAATTGGCTATGTATTGTGGGGCTAGAACAATTGTTTATATTAATTCACAATAATTTGTGTAGGCTTGGAATGTGAATACGTGGATAGGAAATCCATGCAATCCAAACTCACTTTGTACCAGTGACGCTGATTTGATGCGATAAAGTCTATTAGTAATAGACTAGATTTGTTTTGAATAGTCAAAATGGAACCAGGGCCGTGTTCATTAGGAACCAAATGGAAGAAAACTGACTGAAACATGGAGGGACTACCTGGACTATTCCAATAAGAAATACTAATTTTCCACTGCAAAATATTTTAAAACATTTTCCGTTGCGTGCCCTAATGAGCACGACCCTGGATTGTCCTAGTCCAGACGAAGCAACAACACTCAGGTCCACTTTTCTATGCACTACATCACACTGCTGCCCTGTGGCGGAGGCCTCTGAAGCAGCCAAACAAGTAGAACTCTGTCTTCATGCTCAAACAACATCACCAATCTGCCTCACTCATAAAACCTATTACATTGGCCAATACTGTCATTGTCAATAACAACATGAAAGTTGTCTAGATGTTGGCTTCTGAGAGCATCCCTGCATGATTTAATCAAATATGTTTTATCGGCACACATCTTGGCCCTATATAAGATTGACAGTGCTATATGTTCCATCCACATTACAAACAGTAACATAGACTTTCATAATCGTGTAGTTGGCTAAAATTAAGCACCACTCTTCTGTTTGTCCCCAGCTCTTTGCTTTTACTGTGTCAAGCGTTTTGTCACTGCTTTTCAGAGTGCTTACACTTGGCCCCATTCCTACTTCCAAACCCCTCTCATTTACCTTGTCCTTTCTCTCTCTCTCTCCGTTTCTTTCTCACCCTCCATGGGGTGAGCATGAAATTCATTCCAGAAAGGAATTTCACTCTCCTTCTCATCTCATACTGGTCAAACAATAGCCATGGACAAGGGAGAGAGAGGGAGAAACGGTTTGTTGGAGACTGTTGGAGAGGTAAAAGTTAATGAAAAAAGGAGAAGAGACCGTACAAGAAGGGGACAGACTGAAAGACGTGAATAGTCTGTGAGAGAGCAGGTGAGAGTCATTGAGAAATGGAAAAATATTAAAGAGAAAAAAGTGAGAGAAAGGGATTTGGTAACAATGAAATGGAGTCCCCTTTTCTTCCAATTACACAGTGCCACAATATATCCATTGACTTACTATATGCTATGCTTTTCCAATACTTTTTTTTTTAAAGCAGCACACCGGACCATTTCAGCACACCAAACACAACACTGTGAGCTGCAGCAAAACATTGTTATCTATCAAAAAATAATGAAATTTATCAAAAACTATGTCCCTGTCTAGTAGACAATTCAACCCTCAACATGGCCACAAAAACCTTGTTTCAGGATGTCCCATGCTGTGATTCCAGAGGCTTGGCCTCCTCCCTCCCACGGATTAGCATTAGCATCAGACGCCCCACTCATTCTCAAACATTATGCGCTGCGTCATTCAGACACGTTAACACACTTATTGACCATCACACCTTTACACATGCACGCGTACACACACATCGACATAGTGGAGACCAGGTCTTCAAAGCTCACCTACCTCATAAGATATTCAAGAATCAGACTCAGAAACACACACACAAACACTTCTGACAATACAAGATCTACTGTAACTAGGATCCACAAATACATTGCCATGCTACTGATTTCAAACCAGTTCTGAAGTGTAAAATACCAACGGGGTTACACAAAAACACATTGCCACCTTGGTCAAGTATACAAGAAAATATAAATGGTGCGATCTATTTATAGGATATTTAACTTAATAGTATGTGTATCTGTATTGAACAGGTGATACATTTGGAGTAGTGATTTAGTTGTATGAATCAACCTCAATGTCTTCACAAACATATTTCTATGTTATGACAATGTGTTCACTGAAAAAATAATTTTACTGTAATTACTCTAGAATCCAGATTGTAGCTATAACATCAGTGCATTTGCTCCTTTCTTAAACATCCTACTAGGGGTTTAAGAGATTAATTGTAACTGAAAAACTAATGTCCAATGCTATATAAAATCAAGGACCTGTAAAACAATGTACTACAACCACTGCCGTTTTTAAAGTTATCGCCATTGTGGCTATTGTCCATGGGTTGACTTTGCAATGTTGGTGGCAGTACATGCTGCATTCATCTTCAAATGCTAGGAGAGAGTTGTTATGGAGACATAAGTCCCACAAGGCTGTGGAGTCACCATAATATCCCCTATGACTGATTTCACCCACGGCAACAGACCTGCTTCGAGTAACCAAACTAGCCTTCCATGTTACATCCTCCCCCACTCGCTCTCACCTTTCACTGTCAAATGTTGTCCCTTTAGGGCTAGACAGTGTGTGTGTGTATAACAGTAGCGTGTGCGCACATATGAGAGTGTGTATTGAGGGGGTTGGGGGATGGAGACACACCCACACATCCATGGCTGACAAAGCTGTATGCTGTAAGCTTCATCAACGATTATGTTACTCTATGTGGCATCACCAGTGTGCTTCAGAGACTACAGTGTTATGCATTGAATTAGAATGACATTCCCATTCAAGTCAACATTCCAATTCTAAGGAGTTTTTCTTTTTTAAATAATTATATTAAGTTATTCCAGGCTGGGACTGAACTCAAGGACTAGTTGACAACAATGTTCAGGTTAAATGTTTTTGTTGAATTAACTTAATCTAAACAGTTCTTTACTTTTGATGACCCCCTTAAAACTTAATTTAATGGTTTTTAAAATGCACAACTCAACTTCTTTAACACGTTTCACAGCCCTAACTTCTTTCTTTTTGGGGTGAGAGAGAGAGCTCAGGCCTCTTCCTCCCCGTCTCGGTCCCCAGGTAATCATGGCGATGAACAGCAAGAAAGAACGCTTTCATGTCACGCACCGTAAACCAGGATTTGGTGGGAGGGGAGGAGAGGGAGGCGCCCATAGACTCTCCTAAATGTTCCTACCAGGGCCTACCCTTTCATACATCACATGGTGTATAACATTATGCCATAACATGACAGAAGAAAAAATACTTACCAAGAACAACTGCATCCATATCAAATATAGACAATGCTATAGATGTATGCCACAACAAAATTATTTAAGCCTATTATATATTGCATGTGAACAATTTCCCCATATACAATAATGTTGCTTGTGCATTTAGTTGCAAGCGTAAACTTACTGTTTTAGAATCCAGCTCATGTCTGTTTTGCGCCAAAACTTTATCCACACCAGCCTGGTCTATGTATGTTACAAACCCGAATCCCCTGGAAAGAAAAACGCAATGCATTGAATTATAATAACAGTTTGACACAACAAAACACAACCACTGGCCGCAAAATCATGTTATTTTAAAAGAAAATAAACCCATGAGCGCGCGCCTAGGATAGGATGGTGAGGTGCGCACGCCTCCTTACCTCGATCTCTTCGTAACTGGATCTCGCATCACCATACACTCCTTCACCTCGCCGAATTTACAGAAGTATTCATTCAATCCCTCTATAAAAAAGTGAAAATATGGTTAAACAGTTTTCCAAAGACGAAATGTCCTTTTAATGTAGGCTATAATAATTAATTTAGATAAATGACAACAGACAACGCAAATGAGCAAGACCACGTTGTTGTTTGTCTGTCGCGACGTCATTCATTGAAAATAGGATAAGGGTAGATTCAACTCTGCCTAGGTTGATCGTCCATGGCTATAATATGATGATACGACAATGTTAAGTTTACTTTAGTGATAACTTAGGGTATAAAAATAAGATGAATATAGGCTATACTTTTACATCAACCTATAGGCAACACAGTTTACAAACACTGAGTTTTAGACAAACTGTATTCTATTGAATGAATGGCGTCAATAACGCTGTAACAAGCGCAACAATGCGATATCACACACACAAAACACCCCGAGAAATGCAGAAGCAACGAAGTTCTCAACGACGAGACAGAGGCAAGTCGCCTGCTTCAATCAAATATCAAAATAAAAAAAGTTGTTGCATAGGGTAACAGACCCCACAAATAATATACAATAATTTCAAAATAAAGCTAAATGATTTTATACTCATTTAGAACGTTAATCGCATATTGTCTCGCCTCTCTGTTTCAGCCTACAGTCTAAATCATGCGTAGCCTAGGCCTACTGATCCTCGTTGAATGAAAGCTTTGATTTCGGCAGCATATAGCCTAAACTATCAACTGTCTTTTTTAACAAACTTCCGGGAGCTTCACATACTAAACAATGGTAATATTGACTGTATACATAGTATATAAACGAGTAATAATTACACTATACATCTATCTAGGCATTTTATTTGCATCCAGGGACTTTGAAAAGTCGCTCGCGGGACAGCTCACCTTGTGTTGTCTGCCAACTGAGACCCCCGATGAACATTTTGCTGAATGGGAGAGATAGAGGCGAGAGTAAGTGGTGTAGAACAACATATTCCCGTAAAAGAGTCTTCAGAGATTAAAACCAAATTGATATATATATAGGCCTACAAAATAACATAAATAAAGTAAAGAGAAAATCGGCCATGTTGTGAAGGCACGAGTGGTCAAATCGGGCCGTTATAATCCCTACGAGAAGATACTGTAACCAGCCAGTTCTCTCCAAATGGAAATGAAAAGTTGTTAGAATCGTAGCCATCTCCTCACTCAAAGAAAATAGGAGAAATAAACAAGAGATAGATCCTGCGCGGTTGAGCGGCAGTAATACACGGTTGAGCGGACCATATTGGAGAGGTAGAGCGCTAGAGCACATCAGAACAAGCATGCTTGTCTTTTGTCTCCGCGCTCCGGTGGGCTCCACACAAACCAAACTCCACGGTTATCTCACATATGGAAGCAAGCAAGGCCAAGACGCAGGTGAGACGGTGTGGGACCTTTACCAGGGATCGTGGGGGGAGTTGTCCACGGAGGACAGGCTGCTTTGGCTCCCTTCTGTATCCATTCCGTTCATCTGTTCCCGACTGTGAGTTGAGGAAAGGCAGTGAGAGTTGCAGACTCAGTCGCGGGTGGATGAGGGGGGTGGTTTGTCTGGAGGAGGGGCGAGCGAGCGAGTGAGCGCGGCGCGCGCACGCACGCACACATGCATGCACGCACGCTGACACACACACATACACATACACGCACACAAAAAAGCAGGCCCCGCCTCTCCGTCGCTTTTCCCGTACTACCGCCCCTCACTAAGCAGCCTTGTAGGAAGAGTGGCGCTGTCTTGTAGCGTTTCTCCGCTGTAGGACAATGATGTGCATAGTGGACGTTTTGTGGAAGTCTATTCTATGTGAATAAATTATTAGTAGACAGCATAGGCCTAGTAAAATAAGGTCTCCAGCTGTTAAGTAATTATAAAGTACATTCAAGGCCTAATTCGGAGAGTAGGATGAATCGGCCACAGTGCAACATGGAAGGCATATTCTGATGCATGGGAGAGAGGATGGAGTGGCATCATGACAATTCTATGGATTTGATATGGGGAAATCCCTAGGGATTCATGACAACACCTTACAGACACAGACACATCCTTTTTACACTATCGCGTGTACACTGCTGGCACAGCAATTTATAATAATAATATGCCATTTAGCAGACGCTTTTATCCAAAGCGACTTACAGTCATGTGCGCATACATTTTTACGTATGGGTGGTCCCCGGGGATCGAACCCACTACCCTGGCGTTACAAGCGCCATGCTCTACCAATTGAGCTACAATTGAGTTATGGATGTCTAACCAGGCCAGCGCAGTACATCTTGGATTGGCTCAGCTCAGTACACTCCCCTTAGACCTCCTCCTCCTCCTTGCAGAGACCCATCTAGGTCATGGCACCAATGGTACCGACTGGGTTCGAACCCTTCAACCCGGGACTCTTGCACACCACAAGACTGTGTTACCCTGCTGAGCTAAAGCCTATAGTAGGCATTCACTTTAGGAACCTCTGTGCTTGCGGGGTGCCAGAGGCCTGGTATGTAAGCTACACAGTACTCTGCCTCTGCTCATTTTGAACTGTTTGAACTGTACATGCCTGCTCTCAGTCGCCCAAGCAGCAGGTTGCTGTGGCTCTCTCTCTCTCCCTCTCAATTCAATTCAATTTAAGGGGTTTATTGGCATGGGAAACATATGTTTACATTGCCAAAGCAAGTGAACTAGAGAATAAACAAAAGTGAAATAAACAATAAAAAATTAACAGTAAACATTACACTCACAAAAGTTCCAAAATAATAAAGACATTTCAAGTGTCATATTATGTCTATATACAGTGTTGTATAGATGTGCAAATAGTTAATTTCTCTCTCTCTCTCTCTCTACCTCTCTCTCTCCCTCCCTCCGTCTCGCTCCCCCCCCCCCCCCCTCTCTCTCTCTGCAAATGGCTGGTCTTTTAAGTCTCCCTGGATACATCCCAAAAAGTACCCCATTCCCTATATAGTGTACTATTTTTTACCAGGGCACGTAGGGCTCTTGTAGAAAGTAGTGCACTGTGCAGGTGCATGCTTAGTCCTTATATCCCCCAGCCCTAGTCCTGTCCATGCCCCACACTGCATGCCCATGTGACTGCCTTAACCAACTAAGTGGCAGATTACCAGCTTTTCCCCTAAGTAGGCTACCCTCTTGGCTGGGCCAAGATGGTCACCTGAGGGCTTAAAACGCATTGGTTGAACTGCTTCTATAGTACAGTGAGGTGCACAATAAGCATGTACTACCCTGAACTGTAAAAGTTTACAGGTCAAAACTGCAGTTTGTTTACTGCTAGTTACTGAGCAGTAATACTCAGGTGCAGTTTACAGATGGCATCTATATAAATTGTAGAACGTAAGGGAGGCGGGGTAGCTAAAAACATGAAATAAGTTGTGCCACAGTATGTCCAGCTAGTCACTGTGAAATGGATTTGAAAGTGGACATTGAGCTGTAGCCTACAATATGTGCATTACAGAGACAAGTCATGGCAAGCTACCTTTTGCCTTTGAAATAGGCAACATCTAATGCGTGAAAACACTAAATGGGCAAGAGAGAGAGAGAGAGAGAGAGAGAGCAAGAGAGAGAAAAAGGACAGAGAGAAAGAGGGGGGGCTCCAACAACTAAACACTCTAGTCCAGACTCTCTCCTTTTCCACACACAAACTTGTGTGTTTACAATACCCTCAATGTGTCAAACTGCACTGAATACACACACACAACAATGAGTGGTGGATGTTTGTGTGCAGCCTCACGAGATGTGCTGTGGGGCGTATGTGTGTCAAATGGTTGCGAGAGGGACTGAGTGGCGGGCAGGGGAGTGGGGGGAGGGGGGCTGGCGGGGGGAGTGGTGGACCATGTCGAGAGAACAGTATGTAGGACAGAGCCTAGCTAGTGCCCTTCCTATTCTGACTGACTGGAGCCATGGGCCTGCTAAATTTCTGCATGCATGATCAATGGGGATGAATAAAAAGAGAGAGCGAGAGGGAGCGAGAGGGGGAGGGGGGAAAATTAGTTTTTGGCCTTAGAGACTTGGAACAGTTGAATCAGTTACTTTAGTGATATGTGTGATTCAGTAATTTGGACGTTTCTATGTACTCTGGTTTGTTAACCTCACCAAACCAAAATGGCTTCAGCTTTGATTGAAGAAGCTACGATCTCTCTCTCTCTCTCTCTCTCTCTCTCTCTCTCTCTCTCTCTCTCTCTCTCTCTCTCTCTCTCTCTCTCTCTCTCTCTCTCTCTCTCAATTCAATTTCAATTTCAATTTAAGGGCTTTATTGGCATGGGAAATGTATGTCAACATTGCCAAAGCTAGTGAAGTCGATAGTAAACAAAAGTGAAATAAACAATAAATATTAACAGTAAACATTACACTCACAAGTTCCAAAAGAATAAAGACATTTCAAATGTCATATTATGTATATATACAGTGTTGTAACAATATGAAAATAGTTAATGTACAAATGGGAAAATAAATAAGCATAAATATGGGTTGTATTTACAATGGTGTTTGTTCTTCACTGTTTTGCCCTTTTCTTGTGGCAACAGGTCACAAATCTTGCTGCTGTGATGGCACACTGTGGTTTTTCACCCAGTAAATAAGGGAGTTGATCAAAATTGGGTTTGTTTTTGAATTCTTTGTGGATCTCTGTAATCTGAGGGAAATATGTCTCTCTAATATGGTCATACATTTGGCAGGAGGTTAGGAAGTGCAGCTTAGTTTCCACCTCATTTTGTGGGCAGTGTGCACATAGCCTGTCATCTCTTGAGAGCCAGGTCTGCCTACGACGGCCTTTCTCAATAGCAAGGCTATGCTCACTGAGTCTGTACATAGTCAAAGCTTTCCTTAAGTTTGGGTCATTCACAGTGGTCAGGTATTCTGCCACTGTGTACTCTCTGTTTAGAGACCAATAGCATTCTAGTTTGCTCAATTTTTTCGTTAATTCTTTCCAATGTGTCAAGTAATTCTCTTTTTGTTTTCTCATGATTTGGTTGGGTCTAATTGTGTTGTTGTTCTTGTCTCCTCTCTCTCTCTCTCTCTCTCTCTCTCTCTCTCTCTCTGTCTCTCTCTCTCTCTCTCTGTCTCTCTCTCTCTCTCTCTCTCTCTCTCTCTCTCTGGGATAGTTTGTCCAATCTGCCTTTTCTTTCTCTTTGTTTCCTTGACCACAACTGACCCAGCGTGGGAAGCCTATTGTTCTACCTTGACCTTTGACCCTTTAGGTCCTGGGACCTGCTCAGAGAGAGCCTCAAGGGATTTTGGGGGTGCTGCAGTGGCAACTTCTGGCCATCTGAAAAAAATCACTGGGAGTGGTAGTGGCTAGGCTATAGGTTTTATAAGTTCTATGGCTTTGGGTGCGTCCTCGATACAAATGCTGCGCAGGCCAGAACAGATGACAAGATCATTTTATCATATTACAGAGAATTCGGGGGGTATCCCTGACCAGGACTCAAACCCGGGTCCAGCGACTGTCAAGCCAACACCTTAACCTCTTGACGAGGTCGTTAGATGTTGAGATAAGATCGCTACAATATTGATGTGGTTGAACTGAGATGTTCCAAACTTCTCAAATCAAATAACATTTTATTGGTTGCGTACATATTTTACAGATGTTATCACAGGTGCAGCGAAATGCTTGTGTTCCTAGCTCCAACAGTGCAGTAATACAAAACAATACACAACAATACATACAAAATAAAAAGAAAGGAAAAAATTAATATCAGGACGAGCAACAGAGTCCGGAATATAAATATATACTGTGCATTCTGAGAATATTCAGACCGCTTCACTTTTTCCACATTTTGTTAAGTTACAGCCTTATAAAAAAATTTACTAAATCATTTTTCCCCCTCATCAATCTACACACAATACCCCATAATGACAAAGCAAAAACTGATTATTTGAATTTTTTGCAAAAGTATACAATACAAAAAACGGGAAAATCACTTCTACATAAGTATTCAGACCATTTACTCAGTACTTTGTTGAAGCACCTTTGTCAGCGATTACATCCTCAAGTCTTCTTGGGTATGACGCTACAAACTTGGCACATCTATATTTGGGAAGTTTCTCCCATTCTACTCTGCAGATCCTCTCAAGCTCTGTCAGGTTGGATGGGGAGCGTTGCTGCACAGCTATTTTCAGGTTTCTCCAGAGATCTTCGATTGGGTTCAAGTCCGGGCTCTGGCTGGGCCACTCCAGGACATTCAGAGACTTGTCCCAAAGCCACTCCTGTGTTGTCTTGGCTGTGTACTTAGGGTCGTTGTCCTGTTGGAAGGTGAACCTTCGCCCCAGTCTGAGGTCCTGTGCGCTCTGGAGCAGGTTTTCATCAAGGATCTCTCTGTACTTTGCTCCGTTCATCTTTCCCTCGATCCTGACTAGTCTCCCAGTCCCTGTCACTGAAAAACATCCCCATAGCATGATGCTGCCACCACCATGCTTCATTGTAGGGATGGTATTGGCCAGGTGATGAGCGGTGCCTGGTTTCCTCCAGACGTGACGCTTTGCTTTCAGGCCAAAGAGTTCAATCTTGGTTTCATCAGACCAGAGAATCTTGTTTCTCATGGTCTGAGAGTCCTTTAGGTGCCTTTTGTCAAACTCCAAGCGGGCTGTCATGTGCCTTTTACTGAGGAGTGGCTTCTGTCTGGCCACTCTACCATAAAGGCCTGATTGGTGGAGTGCTGCAGAGATGGTTGTCCTTCTGGAAGGTTCTCCCATCTCCAAAGAGGAACTCTGGAGCTCTGTCAGAGTGACCACCGGGTTCTTGGTCACCTCCCTGACCAAGGCCCTTCTCCCCCGATTGCTCAGTTTGGCCTGGTGGCCAGCTCTAGAAAGAGTCTTGGTGGTTCCAAACTTCTTCCATTTAAGTATGATGGAGGCCACTGTGTTTTTGGGGAACTTCAATGCTGCAGACATTTTTTGGTACCCTTCCCCAGATCTGTGCCTCGACACAATCCTGTCTCGGAGCTCTACGGACAATTCCTTCAACCTCATGGCTTGGTTTTTGCTCTGACATGCACTGTCAACTGTGGGACCATATATAGACAGGTGTGTGCCTCTCCAAATCATGTCCAATCAATTGAATTTACCACAGGTGGACTCCAATCAAGTTGTAGAAACATCTCAAGAATGATCAATGGAAACAGGATGCACCTGAGCTCAATTTCGAGTCTCATAGCAAAGGGTCTGAATACTTATGTAAATAAGGTATTTCTGTTTTTTATTTTTAATAAATTTGCAAAAATGTCTAAAAACCTGTTTTCACTTTGTCATTATGCGGTATTGTGCGTAGATTGATGAGGGAAAAATTTTATTGAATCAATTTTTGAATAAGGCTGTAATGTAACAAAATGTGGAAAAGAGGAAGGGGTCTGAATACTTTCCGAATGCACCATGGCAGCAGTCTCTAAGGTGCATGGGTTGAGTACCGGGTGGTAGCCGGCTAGTAACAGTGACTAAAGTTCAGGGCAGGGTACTGGGCGGAGGCCGGCTAGTGGTGACTATTTAACAGTCTGATGGCCTGGAGATAGAAGCTGTTTTTCAGGCCGTGTCTGGACTTGACAGTTCATGCAGCTTTAATATTCAGATCATAGAGTTCTGATCATGGAATTCCGAACGCGTCATGCATCTACACCTACATTTAAATGTGTCTATCGTGTCCACAGTATGTCCGGATTCCCTTTTCATGCACTATATTCAAATGCCAGTATGCATTCTGCAAAAGGTGACAACAACTGATGGCAGTAGCTAACTACTGTAGCTAACTAGCCAGCTAACCTTTGTAGCTAGCCAGCACACTAGCAAACAACGCTAAAGGGATTGCAAACGGGTTAGCATAAATACATTATTTTTCTAAATATTAGCTAGCTGGCTAGCATTTATGAGTCCAGCAAACAATTTCCTCACACACTAGGAACGTATATAATGAACGTTATAATGAAAAGGTGCTTCTCTGTCCCAAAGCACAAGTTTTCTGGAGACTTGTGGGAGGAGTGCTGCTTACATCGACCACTGTATGCGCTTTCGGTAGCCTGACAGGATACATCTGCACACAATTCATCCCTGACCACCTCCTGAAGTGGTCAGCCAGATCTGAACACAATCAGACCCCAAAGCGACTTTTGTGCGTCTAGACCCGTGTTTTCAGTGCGATCTTCATATTCTCCTGAGTGGCGCAGTGGTCTAAGGCACTGCATTGCAGTGCTAACTGTGCCACTAGAGATCCTGGTTCGAATCCAGGCTCTGTCACCGCCGGCCGCGACCGGGAGACTCATGGGCGGCGCACAATTTGTCCAGGGTAGGGGAGGGAATGGCCGGCAGGGATGTAGCTCAGTTGATAGAGCATGGCGTTTGCAACGCCAGGGTTGTGGGTTCGATTCCCACGGGGGGCCAGTATAAAAAAAAAAAATATGTATTCACTAACTGTAAGTTGCTCTGGATAAGAGCGTCTGCTAAATGACTAAAATGTAAATGTAGAAGTTGCATGTAAGTGTGAAGTTTAGACACAACCTCAGTCTCTCGGTCCCAGCTTCGATGCACCTGTACTGTCTCCGCCTTCTAGATGGTAGCGGGGTGGCTGAGATCCTTGATGATCACCTATGGCTGCAAATATTGAGGTTGCTTATTATAGTATAATGCTTATGCAATTAAATGCACTACATCATGAAATATATTGAGAGAAATTACAGACAGTAACCTACAAGTAGCAACATAGAACTCAATTGATAGAACATGAAATGTGATTGAAATAGGCCTATAGCCTACTGTTTATATTTTAATGCAGTCATCTCGGTTTTCATTTCATGTTTGTATCTATTGCAAAGACATTGGCAACTTTGTATTTGTAGTCAACTGTGTTCTGAAGTTATCGGCAGTCATATAGAGACAGATAAACCATGTGATTCTATGTTTAGCGGGGAACTTCTGTGCATAAAGTGACGCGGGAGGGAAAAAAAGCATCGAACGACGCACTTAGCTGTGGTCTGAGGCAGGCGTTATTTTACGAGCGTTTTCAAGTGCATCATTAATAACGATGGATTTGGGAAACAGCTCAGAGATTTAACGATGCTCTTACGAAGGTTCTAACAATGAACTTAGCCTTGAAGAGGCTTTTGGGAAACCGGGCCCTGATATTCTGTGCAAGCCTTTCTCAGGATTTTGCACCTTTTGCCATTTAAATAAACAGAAGCAGGGAAATGGAAATGTTTGCTGAGTGAGCGATTTCCCTCACAAATCACTTTGCCAATGCTACTGCGTTGTACGTTCACGGCACGTCAGGAAGTCTCTGCCTGTTTTGGGTATCGGGGAGGAAGCCAATAGACCAGGGTTGCCCAAACTTGGTCTTCGGGACCCTTGGGCTGCACGTTTTGGTTTTAGCCTTAGCACTACACAGCTGTTTCAAATAATAACCTAATCATCAAGCTTTGATCATTTGAATCAGCTGTGTAGTGTTAGGGCAAAAAACTAAATGTGCACCCCTTGGGGTCCCAAGGACTGAGTTTGGGAAATGCTGCAATAGACCAATAAGACACCAATAGGAAAGAAGCCATTCACTTTGCTCAGGGTATTTTTCACCTGGCAGGTGGCAAGAGGAGGAACTGGAGAAGGCTTTAGGAGAAGGAGTGAAAAAAACAAGCACACCTGTGCTGCTAGCGCAAAGAGCTCCACCTCTGTTCTCCTGCTATCACTCCATTCCCAGGGGAAGGTGTGGCGAGGGAACGAGACAAAGGGAGGAGAGAAAGACAGAGGAAGGGTGAAATTAAGCGGAAGGCTTCAGACAGCTTCAACAGTTGGTAAAGGTTGAACTTCAGAAGTACACTATTTATAAACTGGATTGATATGGGGAGGGAAAGAAAGGGATTGTTCACACATTATTTTACAACTAGGTGGTTATTTTAGTTGCCCATTCTTTCAAAATAAGAGACTGGGAGTGACACACACAAACACACACACACACACACTCCCACACAACCACACAACAGACACAACAGAGGCTTTCAGTTACAATGCAGCACAGCCCTAACATTTACGTTGACTACATACCACAAAAACAATGGCTATGGGAAACAAGGCACCATTAGGGAAACTATATCCATCGTTGTCTTACTTATTGCATTATACTCTCTCCCAACCAACTCACAATGAACTGATGCTGTCATTTCTATACATTGACCAACCTCATTTGCACTATTAGATGTCCTTTGAGCCTTTTGCACTTGAGCAATACGCTTGCTATCAGCTATCTTTGGAAAAGTAGACAATGTTGGTAGATGGTGTTTGCTTGTTGAAAAAGGATTCGACAAATCCTTAGTTGTGTGAGGGTTGTGTGGTTCATGATAACTTTCAGGCCTGGGCACGCATCTACCTCTAAAGCACCGGCATTTTCAGGCTAAGCAAACATTATACATCAGACCATTTAACTTTGGTTAACCATTGTACTAGGGCAGGAATTGTCAGTTTTCTAGACATAGTAACCATGTTGTAGCCATATACAATGTTGCTTAAACGTTAGCCCATCATTATGTACTTGACATTACGACAATGTCTTTGGTCATTGGTCACATGGTCAATGCAGTCTCAAAATTAAAATATTGTGGAGTATTGGTCTTGACCAATGGACAAGTGACAGATCAACCACCAAACAATGTTAATAATCGGTCAGATCAGAAACTCCTCCCATAGGGACCTTCAGAGGAAAGACTTTGCCCAGTGGTGAAATCCACACTACTCATCTACAAATCACCTCTGCCAAACACACACACACACACACACACACACACAAGTGAAGTCGGAATACGGTCCTGTATCTCTTTTAATCCTTTTTCCACTCCCCCCCACTTCCATCCACAGGGCCTATCAACGCCATTCCTCCCTTCTATTTATAGGATACGACTGTCCCCTCGTCTACTCCCCTGCCAAAGCAAAGACATGGGGGTGTATCTCAATAATCAACAGTGGCTTCCTCTCCTTGTCTCCTCTCCTTTATCTGCACTGATCCCAACCAGAAGGAATAGGGGTGAAAGCAATGGTGGATGCCAATCAGGAACCATAATAAACAAACCCTGCATAGAAGCCCATGGTTATTGATTTATGGGGAAGGGGCAGATTGAGCTATCTGATTCAGAAGCCTACAGTTTGACCGTGTCCTGCTTTGCTGTTTGATTGATTGTGTGTGTGTGTACAGTATGAGACAGAGAGAGAGAGAGGTAACAAATGCTGTACATGTTGTGTATTCCAACATGTAGCATGAGCTTGTATATTTACATCTAACCCCCTCTCACCTTTCACCATGGTAACGTGGCCAAGTGGCCCTCAGGCAAAGCCTTTTGTGTGACCTCACCAGTAAGGAAATATCAGATGACAAAATCAACAGGAACAGAAACTGTCTGATAATATCACTGACGTTTGCAGAAACTCTTCTGCAGTTTAGGTTTTGGTCACTCATTTGGTAAAATTCAATAATAATATCTTTGATCACGTTTCAGCATTAACAGGGGCAGTTCAGATGTAGGGGCCATCTTGTGGTCCGAACCGGAAGTGCAACATGAAGTTTAATAACTTATCAAACAGACAGAACGAACGTGTGACAATTCACATAAACATACTAAAATGAAATTAAAACCATTTAGCAGAGAGTGACAGGGGAGAGAGTGAAAGAGAGAGATGCAGAAGAGAGAGAGATGAGTGAGGGTGGTGAGTCGCTCTGGATAAGAGCGTCTGCTAAATGACTAAAATGTAAATGTAAAATGGAGGTAGGGAGACTAGGGAGAGCTCCAGTGTGGGGATTTTGTGAGGCTTCTTCTCTGGGAAAGTGGAAACTCAACACTCCTCTCCAGAGGTCTGGTTACCAGGTGAGAGAGGAAGAAAGAAAGGAAAAACAGAGCGAGAGAGAGAGAGAGGAGGAGGGAGGGAGGAGCAAAGAGGTGTGGAGAGATGGCTAGGAGATTGGGGAAGAGCACGAAAGAGATTTGGACATGAGTTAGAGAGAGGTGGAAAGAGATACAAAGAAAGAGAGAGGGAAATGGGGAAAGGGGGAGATGTAGAGCCGTACATACAGATAAGAAAATAAAGAGGGAGAAAGAGGGAGGTTTTGTTTAGTCCCACAGGACTAACATAGCTGGGGGTAATTGTTCCACAAAATCACAGAATAGGATACTCCGTTTTGTATTCCAAAATGTGTCCCTTTAAGAAATTCCCCTGTATCGGATCTACAACACAATCTGTATTTGCCATCTTATTATAATAATAAGCTACATCTAAATAAAATGTGTACAACCATACATTTTGGGTTATGATAGGGTTATGATAGAATGGCACTGGAATGGCTGCCGTTTTATGGGCTCCTAATCACCAGCTGTTCCGGACGACTGTGTGATCACACTCTCCGTAGCCGATGTGAGTAAGACTTTTAAACAGGTTAACATTCACAAGGCCGCAGGGCCAGACGGATTACCAGGACGCGTGTACTCAGAGCATGCTCTGACCAGCTGGCAAGTGTCTTCACTGACATTTTCAACCTCTCCCTGACCCAGTCTGTAATACCTACATGTTTCAAGCAGACCACCATAGTCCCTGTGCCCAAGAACGCCAAGGTAACCTGTCTAAATGACTATCGCCCCGTAGCAGTTACAGTGAGGGAAAAAAGTATTTGATCCCCTGCTGATTTTGTATGTTTGCCCACTGACAAAGACATGATCAGTCGATAATTTTAATGGTAGGTTTATTTGAACAGAGAGAGACAGAATAACAACAAAAAGATCCAGAAAAACGCATGTCAAAAATGTTATAAATTGATTTGCATTTTAATGAGGGAAATATGTATTTGACCCCCTCTCAATCAGAAAGATTTCTGGCTCCCAGGTGTCTGTTATACAGGTAACGAGCTGAGATTAGGAGCACACTCTTAAAGGGAGTGCTCCTAATCTCAGCTTGTTACCTGTATAAAAGACACCTGTCCACAGAAGCAATCAATCAATCAGATTCCAAACTCTCCACCATGGCCAAGACCAAAGAGCTCTCCAAGGATGTCAGGGACAAGATTGTAGACCTACACAAGGCTGGAATGGGCTACAAGACCATCGCCAAGCAGCTTGGTGAGAGGGGGGATCTTGTCAATGATCTCAAGGCAACTGGGACCATAGTCACCAAGAAAACAATTGGTAACACACTATGCCATGAAGGACTGAAATCCTGCAGCGCCCGCAAGGTCCCCCTGCTCAAGAAAGCACTTATACAGGCCCGTCTGAAGTTTTCCAATGAATGATTCAGAGGAGAACTGGGTGAAAGTGTTGTGGTCAGATGAGACCAAAATCGAGCTCTTTGCCATCAAGTCAACTCGCCGTGTTTGGAGGAGGAGGAATGCTGCCTATGACCCCAAGAACACCATCCCCACCGTCAAACATGGAGGTGGAAACATTATGCTTTGGGGGTATTTTTCTGCTAAGGGGACAGGACAACTTCATCACATCACACAAGGGACGATGGACGGGCCATGTATCGTCAAATCTTGGGTGAGAACCTCCTTCCCTCAGCCAGGGCATTGAAAATGGGTCGTGGATGGGTATTCCAGCATGACAATGACCCAAAACATACGGCCAAGGCAACAAAGGAGTGGCTCAAGAAGAAGCACATTAAAAGGTCCTGGAGTGGCCTAGCCAGTCTCCAGACCTTAATCCCATAGAAAATATGTGGAGGGAGCTGAAGGTTCGAGTTGCCAAACGTCAGCCTCGAAACCTTAATGACTTGGTGAAGATCTGCAAAGAGGAGTGGGACAAAATCCCTCCTGAGATGTGTGCAAACCTGGTGGCCAACTACAAGAAACGTCTGACCTCTGTGATTGCCAACAAGGGTTTTGCCACCAAGTACTAAGTCATGTTTTGCAGAGGGGTCAAATACTTATTTCCCTCATTAAAATGCAAATCAATTTATAACATTTTTGACATGCATTTTTCTGGATTTTGTTGTTGTTATTCTGTCTCTCACTGTTCAAATAAACCTACCATAAAAATTATAGTGGGCAAACGTACAAATTCAGCAGGGGATCAAATACTTTTTTCCCTCACTGTACATATGTAGCCATGAAATGCTTTGAAATGCGCGGTCATGGCTCACAATACCATCATCCCAGAAAACCTGGAAACACTCCAATTCGCATAATGCCCCAACAGATCCACAGATGACGCAATCTCTATTGCACTCCACACTGCCCTTTCCCACCTGGACAAAAGGAACACCTACATGAGAATGCTGTTCATTGACTACAGCTCAGTGTTTGACACCATAGTGCCCTCCAAGCTCATCACTAAGCTAAGGACCCTGGGACTGAACACCTCCCTTCGCAACTGGATCTTGGACTTCCAGACGGGCCGCCCCCCAGATGCTGAGGGTAGGCAACAACACATACGCCAGGCTGACCCTCAACACGGGGGCGTGATTAGTCCTCTCCTGTACTCCCTGTACGTGCGTGGCTACGACTGCGTGGCCACGCACGTCTCCAACACCATCATTAAGTTTGCTGATGACACGGCGGTGGTAGGCCTGATCACAGAGGAGGTCAGAGACCTGGCAGTGTGGTGCCAGGACAACAACCTCTCCCTCAACGTGAGCGAGACAAAGGAGCTGATTGTGTACTAGAGGAAAAGGAGGGCCGAGCACGCCCCCATTCACATCGACGGGGCTGTAGTGGAGTGGGTTGAGAGCTTCAAGTCCCTTGGTATCCACATAACTAAGGACCTATCATGGTCAAAACACACCAACACAGTCGTGAAGAGGGCACGACAACGCCTGTTCCTCAGGAGGCTGAAAATATTTGGCATGGGACCTCAAATCCTTAAAAGGTTTTACAGCTGCACCATCGAGAGCATCCTGATTGGTTGCATCACCGCTTGGTATGGCAATTGCTCGGCATCCGACCGCAAGGCGCTACAGAGGGTAGTGTGTACGGCCCAGTACATCACTGGAGCCGAGCTTCCTGCCATCCAGGACCTCTATACCAGGCAGTGTCGGAAGAAGGCCCTAAACATTGTCAAAGACTCCAGCCTCTGCTACTGCAAGCAGTCCCGGAGCGCCAAGTCAGGGACCAAAAGGCTTCTTAACAGCTTCTACCCCCAAGCCATAAGACAGCTGAACAGTTAATCAAATGGCCACCCGGACTATTTGCATTGACCCCCTTATTTTATTCTTATTTTTTGCACTGACTCTCTTGCACAGGCTTGATGTACACTCACTGGACTTTAACCACACACTCACACATACTACACTGACACTCCAACACACACACACACACACACACATTCCTTCACACTCTTCACTTATGCTGCTGCTACTCTGTTTATTATTTACGCATAGTCACTTTACCCCTACCTACATGTACATACAGTGGGGAAAAAAAGTATTTAGTCAGCCACCAATTGTGCAAGTTCTCCCACTTAAAAAGATTAGAGAGGCCTGTAATTTTCATCATAGGTACACGTCAACTATGACAGACAAAATGAGAAAAGAAAATCCAGAAAATCACATTGTAGGATTTTTAATGAATTTATTTACAAATTATGGTGGAAAATAAGTATTTGGTCAGTAACAAAAGTTTCTCAATACTTTGTTATATACCCTTTGTTGGCAATGACACAGGTCAAACGTTTTCTGTAAGTCTTCACAAGGTTTTCACACACTGTTGCTGGTATTTTGGCCCATTCCTCCATGCAGATCTCCTCTAGAGCAGTGATGTTTTGGGGCTGTCGCTGGGCAACACGGACTTTCAACTCCCTCCAAAGATTTCCTATGGGGTTGAGATCTGGAGACTGGCTAGGCCACTCCAGGACCTTGAAATGCTTCTTACGAAGCCACTCCTTCGTTGCCCGGGCGGTGTGTTTGGGATCATTGTCATGCTGAAAGACCCAGCCACGTTTCATCTTCAATGCCCTTGCTGATGGAAGGAGGTTTTCACTCAAAATCTCACGATACATGGCCCCATTCATTCTTTCCTTTACACGGATCAGTCGTCCTGGTCCCTTTGCAGAAAAACAGCCCCAAAGCATGATGTTTCCACCCCATGCTTCACAGTAGGTATGGTGTTCTTTGGATGCAACTCAGCATTCTTTGTCCTCCAAACACGACGAGTTGAGTTTTTACCAAAAAGTTATATTTTGGTTTCATCTGACCATATGACATTCTCCCAATCCTCTTCTGGATCATCCAAATGCACTCTAGCAAACTTCAGACGGGCCTGGACATGTACTGGCTTAAGCAGGGGGACACATCTGGCACTGCAGGATTTGAGTCCCTGGCGGCGTAGTGTGTTACTGATGGTAGGCTTTGTTACTTTGGTCCCAGCTCTCTGCAGGTCATTCACTAGGTCCCCCCGTGTGGTTCTGGGATTTTTGCTCACCGTTCTTGTGATCATTTTGACCCCACGGGGTGAGATCTTGCGTGGAGTCCCAGATCGAGGGAGATTATCAGTGGTCTTGTATGTCTTCCATTTCCTACTAATTGCTCCCACAGTTGATTTCTTCAAACCAAGCTGCTTACCTATTGCAGATTCAGTCTTCCCAGCCTGGTGCAGGTCTACAATTTTGTTTCTGGTGTCCTTTGACAGCTCTTTGGTCTTGGCCATAGTGGAGTTTGGAGTGTGACTGTTTGAGGTTGTGGACAGGTGTCTTTTATACTGATAACAAGGTCAAACAGGTGCCATTAATACAGGTAACGAGTGGAGGACAGAGGAGCCTCTTAAAGAAGTTGTTACAGGTCTGTGAGAGCCAGAAATCTTGCTTGTTTGTAGGTGACCAAATACTTATTTTCCACCATAATTTGCAAATAAATTCATTAAAAATCCTAAAATGTGATTTTCTGGATTTTTTTTCTCAATTTGTCTGTCATAGTTGACGTGTACCTATGATGAAAATTACAGGCCTCTCTCATCTTTTTAAGTGGGAGAACTTGCACAATTGGTGGCTGACTAAATACTTTTTTCCCCCACTATATTACCTCAACTAACCCGTACCTCTGAATATTGGCTCGGTACGGTACACCTTGTATATAGCCTTTATATTGTTATTTTATTGTGTTACTATTTTTCCTTTAGTTTATTTAGCAAATGTTTCTTAATTACTTTTTTGGTTTTCGATAGTTAGCTTTTCACGGTAAGGTCTACACCTGTTGTGTTCAGCGCATGTGACAAATACAATTAGATTTGATTTAAGACAGTTCAATGGTTATCAATGGTTATGTATCATTCATTTAAATTACCTTTCAACAGATTATGCCTTTAACAGCATCTGTGATTTAGTTATTGTTCATGTAGTACAGTATGTTTCCATTCATAAAAACAGACTGTCTCCCTTGTTTCTTTCTTGTTCCATGGCTCCCCCTCGTGGCCAACACCAGCCGTTACACTGTTCTCTCCCTAGAAAAGGGCGCTTACTCTCATTCTGGTAACACACATCTTATAGGTTGAATGAACGAATAACATTGCTGAAACACTGCTGCACCTGATCAAACGAATTTGAAAACGCACATACAGTATATTTTGTATATTTATTTCATACAATTACACACTTTATCCTGGACACCAGTAGTTAACAAAATACACAAGGATACACTATTTGATTTCTATCTAACAAAGATGAATCACCAATTCCTTTAAATTTCCACATATTTCACATATTTTTATGCCTCATGTGCTTTTGGTGTTTCTAGAGGAAACAATCGAAAACACTACAACTTTCTACTTTAAAACATGATAAAACATGGTAAAAGTATCCACCTGACATATTAATACAATCAAGAGTTGAGTAATACACTGTATCCTATATGACTGCATATCTAATTATTGACTGTGAAAAACATTTCTGACCAGAGCTGTCTTTTCAGTTTATATAAATAAAAGCTATATATATAAGTGCCTTTCAAAACAACCAAAGACACAAAAAATAAAGGACAGATTTGTGTACATAAAAAATGTAAGTTCTAGTTATTTTACAACCTGTGTTTGTCACTGCTTTAGATTTTTTCTTGATTTGAATGTAAACGTACGAGTCCACTTTCTGATCACCTTGTTTGTGAAGCAGGGGTTGGAACCAAAATTATTTTCCAATCGTTTCATTCTGAACAGAATCATACTTTTTTTGTGTCTGTTCCACTATTCCGACCAGCAAAATAAGGTCTGAACCGGTTCCAACCACCCAAAAGTACCGGTTTCTATCATTCCTTTCTGTTCTTTTTAAACCTCTAAAATATTGATTTTTTTACATTTATTTCGACATCAAATTACTTCACCAATTAGTGTGGATAGAGCAGCTTGCTACGGAGTGGGTAAGCTATTTAATCTTCATAAGAAAGTCGTTAAGAGCAAATAGTATTTTGCCGTAACAGCATTGTTTAATCATAGTGAAAGACAAACACACTGTGCAGCCAGTAACACTATGGACAAGTGCAGGGCACGAGATGCGACTGAAATTTTGCTGGTGGGAAGAGAGGGTGGAGGAGGAGGCCTGGCTTGAAGCGCTGGGCATCTTGTCATGACATGCATTATCTGAATTAGGTCCACAGAATTATACCTACGGAGGAGTTATAATTATACGTACGGAGGGGAACTTTGAATGTCTTTGAACTTCTGAGAGTTGGTTTACTGTTGGACGAGAACTAACGTTAGCTAACAAGCTTGTGTGTGCAGAACAGTACTGGAATTAAAAACACGTCTTATCTTTTTGTAGTTAATAAATCCAATGTGAAACGGTATAACTATAGTATCCTTAACTAGCATTGAAAAAGTTAATCCATTCTTCTCTAATAAAAAATCTCTCTCCCTAATTTCTGAATCACGCTTATAACGTTGTCAGTAGGCTACAGTAACCTATGCGTCGGTGGGGGAGGGGCAGGTAGCCTAAACATGCATGCAAACAGGCAAAGATTTCCAGCTGGCAGGCAGACACTGGAATACGTTTCTGAGTGACAGAGTGAGGGCTTTGCATAGGCGCTTTGTTGCAATTTTTGTGGGAATGGAAAAAAAATGCCCGGAACAAAGAAGAACTTTATTAACAGGTTCCCATGCTTTTAAAATAATGGTTCTGTTCCGGAACAGTATAGATCACTTTTGTTCCTGGTTCTGATTCTGTTCGTCTAATAATTTCCTTATTTTAATACAAGTAAATGCAGGTGATGTGCTGCAGGGGGTCTCCCTGGGAGTATGTGAGTGAGCTGGCATGTGTGTTTGACAGTGAGTGTGTGGGTGTCTTCCCCATTCACGTCTTAATAATATATCCAGAGTGTAGTGTGGGCCTGAGCACAGCAGGTTACGACTGTGAGAGAGAAATAGAAAGAGAGGGAGAGAAAGAGAGAGAAAGATTGTTTGTCTGCCTGCCTTCCTGCGTGTGTGTGGTCATTGTTAGGTCCTTTACGGGTATGACTCTAAAAAGCTGAATTTGGTGGGAAACTAGAGGTTCACAAAAGTGGGGAATATGCTTTCCCCTAAAAGCCAAGGAGTGCACATTACATCAACTGTCCAACTACACACTAAAATCAGCCATTTGGTTAGTTGAGACACATCATTGTGGTTCAACCTGCCTGCTTTTGGTGGTACAGAGATGAAGCACTATAGGCAGAATACTGCCTCTACGCGGCTCTGTCCTGCTGTTTTTAAACTGTTCCATACTATACAGCTATGCCATGACAATAAATGCTTTTTAACTTAGTAATCAACATTCAGGGGAGAGTCTGTTGGGTGAGTATAGGCTTGGGCACACAACACACACACACACACACACACACACACACTCAATGCCTGCCCCCGTTATAAGCGTAGTCTGCCTTGTTGTGCATGACCAGTCTGTTGTCAACGAAGTAGTAGCTGTCCGATCTCGTCTCGTAGGGATGCTCCACCATCTGACGAACTGGAAGGGAACATTTATTATTCTGTATTTCACGTTATTCCAATCCATATACTACTGCTAAATACAAAGTCTGGAAAATGTCTTCAAAAGGTGATGTGCATTTCCTTCAGTAAATGATTGCATTTCCACATAAATGTAATGTACACATTTTACTTATTTACTCCTACATTTTATTTATGTAGCACTTTTCACAAAAACATCAGTAACAAAGTGCTTCAACCGGGGTCATTGACTACTGGGTGGGATGTAAAACTCACCCAAGCTCTCGGACAGCTGAGGGAACTCGTAGATGTGTTCGCAGGTGTTGCGGCTGTTTGGGATACAGAAGCCGAAGTCAAAGTCAAAGCTCTTCAGGAGGTGATCCCTGAAGTAGTGCCTCTCAATCATCCTGAAGCTGTTCAGAGGCCGGGTGCCAACTGTAAACTCCACTCTGACACACAGACAGAGAGAGAGAGACAGGCAGACAGACAGACCGACAGAGGGGGGGTAAACATGCAGTAGGTACTGTATGTGAGTAAACGTGTGGATAGAAAAACATGCTGTCTGTTCTGTTCTGTGTGTGTGTGTGTGTGTGTGTGTGTGTGTGTGTGTGTGTGTGTGTGTGTGTGTGTGTGTGTGTGTGTGTGTGTGTGTGTGAGCGAGAGAGAGAGAGAGAGAGAGAGAAAGAGAGAATTAACACACGTGGCTCCCACTGTCCTCAGTCGTAGGAATGCAGCTGTGAACTGGTAGCGTACGAAACGTCCGGCACTCATGTCTCCCTCTCCATTCTCCTCATCTTCCTCTGAGGTCAAAGACACAACACACACCATTTATTTTTACACCAATGGCACGGTGATGAATTCCAGTAGATACAACACACACAAACACAGGATCATATTGGTCAGACACACACACAAACTGAGAGGGAATATGGACTGTACCTGTATGAGGTGGTTTGGCGATTTCAAACAACACAGTCCCTGTCTCCAGGTCTCTGATTTTAAAGTGGATGAAATCTATGTTGAAGATGTTGTCCTCTGGTTTACACAGGTACCCTGGGATGGACAGACAGATTATGGGTAGTCAGTGGCTGTTTTACAAGATCTAGAGGGCAATACAATTATCTATCTTCTGATCTATCCATCTATCATAGCGACTATGCAGGTAAATAGACAGACATTCGCGTGCCAATTCTACTCAACGTCACACTGTATGTAAATGCCACTGTGTGTAAATGCATCGTTCAGAAAATATATAGCCTACCCCGTGTAGCAACCCGCAATCCTAGGACCTCTTCAGGGGTGATGTGGCCAACTTGTGTCCGAAGATCATCTTCTGTGACGGGCCTACTATCAACCTGGCTTCGCCGAGACTTGAGTCTCTTCAGAACCCCTCCACTTGGCTTGCGCTCCCGTGCAACAGCCGCGGAACTGTGCCCGGTGCTCGAGACATTCTCAGCAGCAACAGGCGGGTCGATGCGGGCTTTAGCTCCGCTCATAATTCCCAGCTATGATGACAACCTTGTCTGTCTGTCTGTCTCTCTCTCTCTCTCTCTCTCTCTCTCTCTCTCTCTCTCTCTCTCTCTCTCTCTCTCTCTCTCTCTCTCTCTCTCTCTACCTCAAAGTAATAAGATGGCGTCGTAGTTGTCGACTGACAAACCTCCGCTTCTTGTTGATGGGTCAAACGCTTGTTTTTGTACGCACATGCTGTACAGTTGCCATGACAACTGATCAGAGCGCAAGTGCAGGTGAGAGGGGGACTTTCAAAGGAATAACACTAGGTGTCAGGATGTGCACCACACCTGGCATAGGACTACACCTGCTTGCTTAAACGCGCACTCTGACTTTTTTGCGCAAAGGTATTTTGCAGCGATTGCGCCAAAATTGATTTACGCATGCGGTGGGCAAAGGCATTGAACCATGGCGCCTACAGTTGTTGTTTTTAACCCCCACTGATTCACAATCCCTCAATATTTAAAAGTTACAATCTGTATGATGTCCTGCAGTACCAGCATTGATTCAGGAAGAGCCTCAAAACGAATTTATGCTTGATCCGAAATGTGGAGGGGGTGACGCAATTGCGGAGCCTCCAGAGGCATGCAGGGGACAAATTCAGTACGCATCACCCATGTGCCTCCCGAATTGTGTAACAATGCAGAGGGATCCTTATAGCTCAGTATAGCTCCGCATTGACATGATTGATTGACGGTAGGTGGGGCAGGAGGTCCTGTATAAACATAAACTCACTTCATTGACAACTTCCATCACAACAGCTCTGCTCAACAGCGCCGCGCTGCTCCAGGAAGCGCAAAAAGTATGATGCTCTCCATGAAGCCAAAAAGTATGATGCCATATGTCCACCAAATGCTCATAGTTTTGCTGTATGTTGTTTTTGCCAGATGTCTAGTCCACATTTTCCATATTTGGCAGCACCCTCTGTAGCTCAGTTGGTAGAGCATGGTGTTTGCAATGCCAGGGTTGTGGGTTCGATTCCCACGGGGGCCAGTATGAAAATGTATACACTCACTAACTGTAAATCGCTCTGGATAAGAGCGTCTGCTAAATGACTGAAATGTAAATGGAGAAGGTCATTTTCGCTGTCTCTGGGTTCCCTGCCATGTTTGACCGAAGTGATGATTCCTACATGCTAAAAATGTTGCATGGAGACACATTGCCAATATGATTGGATTACCTGGTCAGTTGAATGTGAAATAATTAGTTGGAAAGTGGAAGCTAGGCGCTGGTAATGTCTTAGCAAAGTGGTTAGCTTTATAGTTAGATAGCTAGCTAACTGGCTTGACTGTTTATGAACTTCTGTTTGTACCACAGCAAGGTAAAGCAATGCAGGAGTTAAAAATATTGAACGCATGCAGTACACAGAACGCACCGCAGCCTAGTGTGGCATTCCCAACCCAGCGTTGCGGACTGCTCCATTGACAATGAATGACTTCTGTTGGAACACAAAGAGTTAATGCATTTGTTGGACATGAGGCTTGAATGCCCTGACTTCTGCAGAGGCCATATCAACATAAATGCTGCACCGCCAATGCAGATGCCAGAATGACCATGCAGCTTGCCTTTTATGAGTTTTAGGATGCTGTACTGTTTTACCCTAGCTGAAAATCGAAGGTTGTAGGCTATTAGCCTACATGCCTAAGTTTTATTTTAGCCTAGGCATAAGCCTACTAATTAAACTTTCAAAACCACAACTACTAGTCTACTTAATAGCACATTATGGCCAGAGGCAGAGGAAGTAAATCAAATTCACCATCAACACTCAGCGGGATTTGAGTGTCTTGAACTGTGAAATTAACCCTTTCCCTAGTAGACACAGAGGACTAATTTCCTGGAGTAATAAAGAGCCATTTCAGAAACTTTAGAGCCAAGGAATGTGTTTCTTCTCTCATACGGGAGTAAAAAATGCCCAGTTCACTGATTCAATAAATAATTTATAATATCTATATATATATATACACTACCAGTCAAAAGAGTGTGCAAAGCTGTCATCAAGGCAAAAGGTGGCTATTTGAAGAATCTCAAACATAAAATATATTTTGATTTGTTTAACACTTTTTTGGTTACTACATGATTCCATATGTGTTATTTCATAGTTTTGATGTCTTCACTATTATTCTACAATGTAGAAAATAGTACAAATAAAGAAAAACCCTTGAATGAGTAGGTGTGTCCAAACTTTTGACTTGTACTGTATATACACTACCGGTCAAAAGTTTTAGAACACCTTCTCATTCAAGGGTTTTACAGACAGCATCACCAGCAAAGCACCCCCACACCATAACACCTCCTCCTCCATGCTTTACGGGGGGAAATACACATACAGAGATCATCCGTTCACCCACACCGCGTCTCACAAAGACACGGCGGTTGGAACCAAAAATCTCAAATTTGGACTCCAGACCAAAGGACACATTTCCACAGGTCTAATGTCCTTTGCTCGTGTTTCTTGGCCCAAGCAAGTCTCTTCTTCTTATTGGTGTCCTCTAGTAGTGGTTTCTTTGCAGCAATTCGACCATGAAGGCCTGATTCACACAGTCTCCTCTGAACAGTTGAGATGTGTCTGTTACTTGAACTCTGTGAAGCATTTATTTGGGCTGCAATTTCTGAGGCTGGTAACTCTAATGAACTTATTCTCTGCAGCAGAGGTAACTCTGGGTCTTCCATTCCTGTGGCGGTCCTCATGAGAGCCAGTTTCATCATAGCGCTTCATTGTTTTTGTGACTGCACTTGAAGAAACTTTCAAAATTCTTGAAATTTTCCGGATTGACTGACCTTCATGTCTTAAAGTAATGATGGACTGTTGTTTCTCTTTGCTTATTTGAGCTGTTCTTGCCATAATATGGATTGGTATTTTACCAAATAGGGCTATCTTCTGTATACCACCCCTACCTTGTCACAACACAACTGATTGGCTCAAACGCATTAAGAAGGAAAGAAATTCCACAAATTAACTTTTAAGAAGGGACACCTGTTGATTGAAATGCATTCCAGGTGACTACCTCATGAAGCTGGTTGAGAGAATGCCAAGAATGTGCAAAGCTGTCATCAAGGCAAAGGGTGGCTATTTGAAGAATCTCAAATATAAAATATATTTTGATTTGTTTAACACTTTTTTGGTTACTACATTCCATATATGTTATTTCATAGTTTTGATGTCTTCACTATTATTCTACAATGTAGAAAATAGTTTAAAAAAAAAGAAAAACCCTTGAATGAGTAGGTGTTCTAAAACTTTTGACCGGTAGTGTATATATGTACCGTCAAATCTTGGGTGAGAACCTCCTTCCCTCAGCCAGGGCATTGAAAATGGGTCGTGGATGGGTATTCCAGCATGACAATGACCCAAAACACACGGCCAAGGCAACAAAGGAGTGGCTCAAGAAGAAGCACATTAAGGTCCTGGAGTGGCCTAGCCAGTCTCCAGACCTTAATCTCATTGAAAATCTGTGGAGGGAGCTGAAGGTTCGAGTTGCCAAACGTCAGCCTCGAAACCTTAATGACTTGGAGAAGATCTGCAAAGAGGAGTGGGACAAAATCCCTCCTGAGATGTGTGCAAACCTGGTGGCCAACTACAAGAAATGTCTGACCTCTGTGATTGCCAAAAAGGGTTTTGCCACCAAGTACTAAGTCATGTTTTGCAGAGGGGTCAAATACTTATTTACCATCATTAAAATGCAAATCAATTTATAACATTTTTGACATGCGTTTTTCTGGATTTTTTTGTTGTTATTCTGTCTCTCACTGTTCAAATAAACCTACCATTAAAATTATAGACTGATCATGTCTTTGTCAGTGGGCAAACGTACAAAATCAGCAGGGGATCAAATACTTTTTTCCCTCACTGTATATATATATATGATATTATTATTATTTTTATATATATATTTTTCGCCTCAACCCTGCTTCCCGCGGATATGCATATAGAACTGTTCTGTGCATAATTTTGTATGCCATCATGCAGGACAAGCTAGTGATTTGAAATCACTACTCTATATGGGAACAACCAGTTCAATTTATTGATGTTGCTAGAGATGAATGTGACAGAAGAACAGAAACAAACAAGATTAATTGTTGAAATGCGCCCCTGTGCTCTGCCAGCCTATGAAACCAGTAGGTCGATAGGAGTATAACTTTAATATGTTCTAATTATTCATTTAGGTCGAACAGGGTGAAAATGATCTTCTCCATGCTGTTAACCGTTTTCCAGCCTTGTAAGGCACATGTGCAAGTATGGGAAAATGTGGGTTAGACATCCAGCAAAAACAACATATGGAAAAACACATGTGCATCTGGTGGACATATGGCGTTAGGTGGTTTGGTGGTTTATCTACTTCTGTTTCCGATACCCTGTTTCTGTTACCACAAGGCAAAGCAATGCAATGCACAAATTGGAAAAATCCAATGCATGTCACACACTGCAGGCATCACAACCTAGTCAGGCAGAACGGCAGAGTCACAAACAGTGTGGATTGCCTTTCACTGAAATGAATGGACTTCCACCAGAACGTCTAAAGGAGAGCTAGCGAGAATGACGAAAACGGGTACAGAGTTAGCAAAGATGAGAGTGAGAATGAAGGTGATGAGAATACTGGATGGACTACAGTTGCTAAAGAATGGATAAAGAGAGCTAAAATAATGTTTTAAACGCTGTCTAGTAATCCTACTGCTCATGGCACAACTACTTCACAGTTTGTAGTAGGAGTGGGGTTTGAGGATAAGAAGATGCACTTGGGATATTCATTTGATGTTGCCAAGATGGTGAAGAAAGTGTTGGGTACTGTGGAATCTGTGAGGGTGACCAGAAGTGGAATTTTGTAGAATTTTTGTGTGTCGGGAGAACAAAAGGAGAGCACGTTCGCCTCACCAGAATCAAGGAGAAAGAGGTGACTGCCTTCGATTTTCGGAGCAGGGCACCAATCAAGGGCATGATTCTGGAGTCTCTGAGAAGATCAAGATGAACATTCCTGGAGTAGTTGGGGCATGACGATTGACGCGTATGTTCAATTGAAAGAAGATAGAGACTACGTCT